GTCGGTATTTATTGTCAAAAAATCGAAGGTCGCAGTCTGCTTTTGGCAGCTCGAACAATCTAATTTCAGTCCATATACGTGGTAGTGCAGAGGTGTTTTGTCCACAGACCTAAACACACGTAAGTGGTGGACCCCCCCCCCCCACTAGGACTGGCTAGAGCTAGCGATGTATACACCAGACAAGCATTTTCAGGATTTCCAGTACCAAACAATTACAATGAGCGTCATAGAAAGGTTCTATTTGACCGACTCGGGGCGGCCTTGGTTATAGCTGAGGTCTTACCGGTCGTCTAGATGATGTTGCATTACCTCCATAACGCATGACGTGTCAGGCATATAGTTTCCATGATATGAAATAACCGTTTAAACGGTCGAAGAATGTCGCTCTCTAAATGTACTAAGACTTCTGGTCCTCTCCTATAAATCAGAGTCAATTGACGAAGCGATCGTAACATGTACGGATGACTGCGACATCGGGAATGTGTCGAAACCAGACAGATTCGAAATGACCACTATTTGCTATTATGACAAATGAACGATTTATAGCTTGAAGGTAACGTGCCCGACTCAGACGTTTTCCAATCTGTTGGCAAATGCTGGCCAGACGCCAAGAAGACCGCCGGCTATTATAGGTTAGGTAAACTCGAGCCTTCTAATTGTAAACTACTGACAGTGAGTCATAGTCTTGAACGTGTTTGTTTTTCGGAACTAGTTATTGATTTCAGATTGAAGTCAGACAGAGGAGCTTTACAAATGCGACAATTCAAGGTTTGTGCCGACCTTGGACGTTGGCTATTGCACTGTCTAGCAATTATTAGTTACTGAGAAGAGTTTCCTTTCAACCGTTTTGTCGTATAAATGCTCGTTTATGCCGGCTCTAAATGATACCTGTAGAAGTATTCTTACTGTCTTTCAGTGTGTCTGTTAGAGCCCACCGACCAACTAACAAATGACGGTGTTGAGCCAGTCACGTTAATTGGGGTTACGTGAAGTGTTTCGCTGTCGATCACCGTCGCCATATTTATTCCGAATCCATAGCCATTCAAACGTTGACTTATAGCGTACGGCGAATCAACTCAACACACGCTCACAGCTTTTTTCACGTACTTTTCCAGTTATCTGATTGATTCGTAAAGATTTGAACGTATAGCAGATTTCCAGTTCTGCTCGGATAGTTCTGAGCATTTGGTACTTTTGTACAATGCTGTCGCTTCAGATACCAGAAGTGACAAAAAGTATCCAACCATAAAGTATAAAAGAATTGCTGTTTAGAGAAGTTTCATCTCAGTTTTGTCTCGGGTAATTTATGACGGAGAACAAACGTTTTGGATGAATCTAGCTCAAAAGAACTATTCTGCGCGTCGGCAGGTTGTTGTTGGATGACTCGGTTCCACGCATGTATAATACTAGCAATAATAATAATAATAATAATAATTGAAAAACGCTCAAGGCCAAAATAAATGTGCCCATTTGTATCTGTGGTTCTCGATATAAATAACGCCACTGACTCTACGCCGTATCGATTGCTTGTTGTCCGAGGCCGTCCCCAGAGTTCCACAGAAATAGTTCCGCGTTGAATTTAACTTCCGCTCATGAGTGACCGATTAATTATACACAGATGAATATCCAGATGAAATATAAATATATACGTATCTGAAAAACCTTATTTTGTGTAAAGTTGTTGTACACTGCCTGTCGATACGTGAAATAGTCGCTAGCGATGGGCAACTTGGCTCCCTCGAATTGAAAGAACGACTATATGGGCATATGCCTGTATGTGTGAAGAATGGAAACAATGACGAATTGGCATGCCGTTATTAGTGCGGCTATCATGAACCTTGACAACCTGACTGTTGCTATTGTTGTTTAAGCTTTAACCTTCTGCGGAGTATTAATCTATTTTCGTTAAAATGTAAAGTAAAAAAAAATTCCTTGCTCTACGCTTTATTTCTACCTAATAACGTAGGTCCCGTTTTTTTTTTTTTTTTTTCATTTAAGGATTTTTAAATTCCTGTTTGACTAAGTAATGTCATGTTACGGAAAAGGGCTTCCTTGGTCCAGAGGCTTCCTAGCAGACATTTTGGCAATATGTCGCGCGTCATCTTTCAACAGACTATTTACTTTGGAATAAAAGTATAGTGTGAATGGTCATAGTAGATAGGTAACGATTTTCTATAAGTGTTTTGCCCAACATCTCGTTTACCATCAAGCGCTTGAGCGAATGTACATAGAAAGAGAGCTTTTTCTACGTGTGAAAAAAAAGGTAAACTTAGTACATTCTATCAAAACTGGAACAGTCAGGGTAAGGGGTTGGACGCAGGATGCATCATTAAAACATATCATTCGCTTGGATTGGCCACTTCTTTTCTCACTACCATACGAAAGATAACCTATTAGGTAGGTCAGTGAATTGTTGCCCGCCCTTCTACACTGCTTTTCATTTACTAATAATGAAAAATTGACAATTGATTGTATTTCCTCAAATTGGGCAGCGTTCTATCGAAATAAAAAATGTTCTATCAGTTGTTTACGCCCGGCCTCAAACGCTCTTTAAGATCTCTCTTAGAGCATACGACATGTATGTATGTATGTAAATCGACATTATGAAACATTCTGTATTCGTTACTGTTTTACTTATCCTGCCATAGATGTACTTCAAGTAGTATTTAGTTATTATTCAATTGCTATACATTTACTATGAACTTTTACTATCCGTGCGCTGTTTCTCCTTAGCCACCGTGTTGTCTTCAATGCGCGCGTATATCTCTCATCAGGATACATAGATTCTATAGAGTTGCAAGTCAACTATGGCCGATGATCGTCGCTAACTTGCTATTGCGTGAGCGTTCCGAACGGGAGATCGTTCGGATGGACGCGCGAGCGTTCTGGCTGACAAACTGTGCCTGCTAGAACCAGAAGCAATCACGATCCTTCCGCTTCCCTCGTTTCTGTTTAGCGGCGCTGCTTTTCCATGACGGCAATCATTACTAGCAATTACGACACATGGCTGATATTCGGTTCGGTCTGTCATTTGGTAGCTTGTTTGGCTTGTAAAAAGAAAAAACAACTTCGTTAATTGATTCGTTGCCCCGATGAGACCGGCCAGTGCAAAGTAGGGCAACTCTGCCAATCGCTCACTGCTGGCGGCGTTCCGCCCTTTATGATCGATGCGCCAATTAGTCAGTTATTTAAAACGATACTGCCCTAGTAAATCAAAAATAAGTTTACGCGTGTTGACATTGAGCGACAAGCTGCAATCGGGCTGGCACTGAAGATTTGGAAAAAATTACCTTCTATCGTCATCTAGTGATGCAATCAGCCCCATCGATCTCACAGTGATCTTGGTCCTTGAAAAGGGGCAACTTCAATTAGATCTTCTTGCCTATATTGTGACCTACGTTGAGCAACATTTGCCTTATGAGCAGCACGAACGGTTTGCTCAGTTGCGGAAGTATTTTTTCTATTATTCCTTATTCTACAATTCTTAATCTGCTCTCGTTATACTACGTTACTACGGCGACGTTGAAAATAAAAGGGTATTTGTTTCCTTCACTTCAAGGCTGCTGTCGTTCATTCTGTGTACCATTATTTCTATGTACGCTGTTCTATATGTGTAGTAACACTAAAACGCATATCCTGACAAACGTAACAATCTAACCCGCTTAAAGAAATCCGACCGAAGGCAGTGGTCTGTTTCTAGAATTCCTGCCAATTGAGATGTTACTTCAGTTGAATGCAGCTCATAAAATAAGACGGAGAACTTCACGCATTAGTGTCATAGTATTCACGAGTCACAATTACTCTATAAGCGTGTAAACGGACAGCCTCAAAACCCAAACAAAGCAATCGAGGTGTCAACTCTACCTTTCGGCGTGCGTTTCACGTACAAGCCGGTGCAAACTACAAACCCGCTTTACAGTTTAGAGCCGCGGCTCAGTAGATTTAACCTTACCATAATTATTAGCATTGCCGCTTGCACTGACTAGCAGTTAGATATCAAAATTCTGAGTCCCGCTATTGTAGAAGTAGATTTGGCCTGCCGATGGAACACGAGCTTGAGTTCTTTCAAATCTACGCTTGCTTTTCATCATATCAGCACGACTTCATCACCGCCATTACTACTGTCCTCGTGCATGCGCAAGAGTCATATCGGCGAGGAGTAGATGAGCAACAAGCGACGATAGACGCTGTATCATTTCGCTTTGCCAGAGACCGTCTCATCTTTTTTCGACACCGAAGTAGTAACTACTATGTATTTTCAAAGTCTTCTCATGACGCCGTCTATCGTCGATGGTGGATCAGTGGCTGGCTGATTGAGCGTAATCATTACCATAATCAGCTAATCGAATGTGGTCTGCCGTCTAATAGGATATGTGTTTGTATGCACCGAGAGGAGCACGAAATGAAAGCGGCTGTACGAAACCGCGTGAGAGTGTGTGGGGACTCTGCTTGCGAACGCGTGGTTCTCTTTGCGCCGGCGTGCATCGGTGTGTTCGACTGAACATCTGCACAGCAGGAACGTGCCAGATATGTGCATGCTCTATCGGCCCATTGGTCCGTTTATTGATTCATTTACGTCGGGCAGTTCTTGTATGGTCGGTCGGTCGGTCGGTCGGTCGGTCGGTCGGTGGGTCCATCGCCCTTCGTCCACGCGTGCGTCTATCCCACAGCAACCGATGCAGTAATAACATCAGCAGTAGCCACGATTGCACTAATGCCAGGAGCGGTTACACTCCCCCGTCTTGGTCCTACCCGTCAACTACGGTGGCGCATGAACCCACGCACGCACAGCCTTGTGCGTCGATGGCGAGGATGATGATGACGACGACGACGATGACGAAGCCAGTTACGGCGATATACGACAGAGAAACCGCAACAAAACAGCAGAAGCCAGTGAGCAAGAGAGACAGCAAGTGTCACAGTCGGCCATTATTCACTATAAAGCGTCATACTGGTACGGGTAGCAACACTTCTTCTATAAGATAATGCTAGAACCATTACCGTAAAACCAGCAGCGATAATGAACCTGATAGCAGCACTAGCAGTGAGTGCAGGGCTCTAATGAGCAGCGTTAACTACCGCTAGTCCCAGAGCAGTCCGCAACGAAACACAAGTCAACGGCAGGCGCATCCGTCACTGAGACAACACTGTGTGGCCATAGGGCCAGAGAACTGAACAAAGCCAGTTTCTGCTTCGTTTTTATCGTATTCGGATACGCTCGAAGACGTCAACGAAGTTCGCGAGATATACATATAGATATCTAGTCAAGCGAATGCTGCCAAAAATTCAGCTGGCTACATCTACTTTGTACGCAAGCACGATCGAGGCGTCGCATGTTAGCTGGAGTTAGCGCCACCGCTGCCACAGTTCCATAGAAGACCGGACACAGTTGAATATTCACTATCGTAATAGTACAACTGGAAGTCATAGAACTATTACGATTACAAGGCCCGGCGACGGAAAAGAATCTCGAATAGGGCAACATCATGCCGCTGCTGCTGCTGCTGCTGCTTTAGCCTAAGAGAAGGGAAGCAGACCCAGACCCAAAGGCAGGGCAGAGTGAAGAAGCAACTAGGGCCTTTTACTCATTCGACAGGAAGCCGCGGCACAGCAGCACTGCACGCTACTGTCGCTTGTTCACGCTTCGGTCATCACGATTGCTTTCAACAGGCCTTTTTGTACTGGTGGTTGTCGTCTCTTTGTTTCTTCATTTTCCTCTTGTTCACCTCTATGTCCCAAAACCGGCCACAGCGGGAGGCGATCTACATCACAGTTTAAGCTCTCACACACGGCGGCCTAACGAACAGGCCCGGCCTGTGTATAAATTTTAGGACCTTAAGCTCTGACAGATTTGCCAATACGGCCCTGACGAGGCCGGCCAGCAACTGTTGAACAGAGGGAGTTAAGTACTCTAGGGTAGCTACTGGGGCGGCCGGCGAAGAAAGCTAAACAACTAGCAATAGTACCATTTCACAGTAAGCAGACGAATGCTATACCGGTGAACTGCGGCCGTTGGGGATTACAGGAAGGGCCTGTTCTTTCTTCGGTGCAACTCCCCTATCCTTACGATCCTGCGCCTCTTTCCGGCGTTGTAGCTGACCCTATATCTGGGTACTATTATCCGACTGGCTGTACGTTGATCCGACTGATGTCTTGTGTAATAGAGGCCCCGAGCTCTACATTATATAGAAATGAATGGGCAGGAGGGACGCTGTTAAGCCCCTTTAGGACCGTGACGAATCGGCGGTGCTGAGATCGCAAACTTAACTGTCTCGTGCCCTCTGAGCTGTGCACAGTTTTCCTCATTTAAAAAAATTGCCGATTAACGCAGTAAGTGTTGATCATCATCATTGTCGTACGTGAGAAGAAGTGAGGCCTGGTTGGATACTTTGCTGAGGGGAACCTACTCAATGATAGTGATTGTGCGGAACGGTGATTCTTTCACGCGCGAAACTGGATAATGAAGGCTGTGATCTAGAAACTGAAGCATATTGTTTTGATGATAAAGCTATTGTGATGCTATAGAGCCCTTACTATTGATCGCTTAGCATAGCTCAACTAGGCCGGATATTTATCGACCTGAAAAGTGCGTTACGTGTAGTTCCTTAAAAGGACAGCCGACTACTACGAAAAAATAATCGTTATAGGTCAACTGGATAGCTGGGAGGTCAGCACGCGGCAACGACCCACCGCATACAACCCAGGATAGCAGCTACTTGAAAATATGCGAAACGAGTATGGCTTCCTATATTTTCAGTGTTGCGTTTCCGATATCGGATGTTGGTGTTATTAATATGAGACCTTTTATGCGACTATACAATGGACACTCCTTCGTTAAATCTATTTAGTTTCTCTATTGGAATTACAACAATTAATAACGGTAGTCCCTAGAAAATGCTTTAGACAAGTTGTAGAATAGTAGAAGTAATGACAGTTGATTAACTGAGCAACTGGCAGCGGGTCTTTCGACACGTTCGAATGTTGCATCGTTCAGTGTGACACGGTACTGCATGGCGATAAACATATATCCATATAGGTGCGAAATACGAAAAGATGAGATTCTTATTGTCTGTTCCGATGACATTGGACTAGATACGCAAGTAGCGATAGAGTCTATCGCTTATTTCTTTGGTTGTTAGAAGTTTTAGTTAAGTTCTAAGAAATGTGGTCTAATGGCAAGAACAACGAAATCAGGTAAAGTTGAGTAAAAATCAACTTGTGTGTGTCTGACTCGGAAAATCAGATAGGTATCTCTGATAAGAGGCTTTTCGTATATTACGTTATTCGGTAAAGAAAGACAGCTTTGATAGATTTTATTGAATGAATTATTTCTTAGAAGCGGAATGCCTTAGGATACCACTACTATAGGAGATGCTTCTTTTGACCCAGTGGGTAAATGCGTGAGGCTCGAAAGCTGAAATCGCGTATAGCATAAGTGGCAAAAAAAATTTTGGTTAGCTGAGAATTAAAATGACTCGTATTGGTACATGATTAGTATATGACATAAGCGGATCTAAAAACCAAAGAATCGTTTTAGGTTACGTAGCGTTTCGGTACACGCAAACTTTAGCTAGCGGAAGTTGTAATTGTGAGATTTTTTGCATCGAAGTATGAGACACTATATCGGCGTATGACGCATAGATGATGAATCATTTTGTTGGAGCATCGGTCGGCCGCGATCCAGTTCACTAAAAGGAACATTGCCAACTGCATTGACATAGTAGACATTTACTGGCCGCTAAATCAGTCGCAGACAGAAACTGGGCGTACAACATGGCGCATACTGTCGTTAGTAAGGACGTTAGACTATGGGGAACCGCCAAGTCAAATATACACATTTGTGGTTTGAGCTGGTACCGGCAGTTCCGCTGGCACGATGTCCTTTTCCCTAACTGGTTCATCAATACGACGACACGCTTCTACAGATGACTCTGCACGAACGCGCGTACACCACAGCCCAGTGTAGAACGATTCGCTGTACCTGTGTAACGCAATGTTTCTGTAATATACGTTGTTATTTTTAATGTATGGATGCTCGATAAAACGTTTTGTGCAATTTCTAGGTCTATTGAAAGTGACAGCCATCGTATAAACGCACTATTCATCAAATCCTCGTTATTAACGTTTGATATCTTTCGCATCTGAAGCATGTACGATACGATAAACAGACCTCTGAATTTAATGTTTTCGATACACACTATTCCTTCGTTCGAATCGCTGCGGTTTTGCGCAGGCATTTAACTGTACACTTGTGAACATTTGCTTCTAACGAACCTTTTGCAAGAACCGTATATCAGCACGAAAGTTCCAATCATTGTTGTACGGATCACACGTTTGACGTTGTTAAAAGTTCCGCCAAAGACTTAAACGGAGCAATCAGCGAGTCTTCTTCTAATTGGCTGTTGCCCTTGTGTGTATTTTTGCCAAAAATTTTTGAAAAGACGTTTCTTTGCATTGGATAGTGTGATCTGGACTACAGTGGTTTTATCGACGCAGCTATTATCGTTCTTTTCCCTTTGGGTTCCGGTTGACCCTCGGCTGACGTCTCAGTTACGTGTCACGCTTCGACTCGACCAGGCCATTTTATCCTACGAAAATCAAGGCCGTACTGATCCTCTTCGTAAAATTGTTGTAAAACAGGCCGGCCATTAACTGAGTGCGATTTTGGCCGACTTCAATTAGACGCGCAGAATTCCGAAACATACTTCGCTGGATGGCAGACAAGCCGATTGACGTCATCAGTTATAACGCATGTATGTCAAATTACACAACCGTCTTTTTCGTTCAATCGATAGATTCCACTATATAGCGAGCAGACTTACCATCAAATCGGATCAATCAGGTCAACAAAGGTATTTCTGATCCTTGAACGTCAGCATTCCTTTCTTCGGCCCAATTCTTACGGAAGCTCTTGCCCTAAAACGGCACGATTACGTTTTATTCCATGACAGTAATTAGAAATACTCAGTAGAGCTTACATCGCAAGCTGATTACGAGTTGTCGGTTTGCGTATGATTCATAAACGGTTGATCGATGACCTCATCAACGAATCTAATGTTTGCTCGTTACCTTTCATGCCCTGCTACTAACGAAAATCTGCGCTACCTTTCCAGCGGCCAGTAAACGTATGTGTAATTACCACACTAAGAGGCTTGACATTGATCTCTTTTCTAGCCAGCCGCAAAACAGATTTACGTATATACGTGTTTGTGTTCATCTTAATGACGCAAATACAACCATATCCACATAATGAACGCTACGACCCTTTGCTACGTCGGAATGTACGCGGGTCAGCGTGGGTGGGATGGGAATACGCGCTGACGACCGAAATGGAGTCCCTCTTGTGAACCGAACTGACAACCATCTTGTCTGCTTACTCGCGTTTATTTTCCCCGACCAGATAATGGCTGTCAACACCATGTGTACCTTCCGTGGTGCGATAGTGGTTAGAACTTGCCGGCTACAGGTGATGCGACGAGCCCACAATATGACCAAGCAAATTGGTAGTACAATAGAACAATCAATAGAACTGAAACAAATAACCAGTAACAAGTGACTGGGTATATTTTCTCGCCTTATGATCCTTGCCATTTGTGATAGTTTATATTTGTTACATATAATTGTGATGGGATTGTTTTTTTCTGTGTTATGCTGTTTTTCAGAACCATGTAGTTAGGTCACAGATTAACACTGGAAAGAAATGTGTAATGCTTAATTTCCCAAGAGACTGGGCAATCTGTAATGATATTGAGTAAATCGTTGTTAACTGTTTCGCTTACAACTCTACCAAGGGTCGTCTAGCAGTGGCACTATATATTTGTTTAGAGGATTACTTAACGGTCCTAACGTATCTACGTTTGTTTCCTTCTCGGAGGAGTTGTCAAGTATAAGTAAGTAAAACTCTAAATCGCTACATAATTTTCACCACACCTTGGTGGCCTAGTAATGAAAACCTCAGGCCCAAGCCGGAGCCGGAGCCGGAGCCGTAGCAACCTGAACGTCAATGCAATCAGTTCTGGACGTAAAGAGACGACAGACTGAAATAAGATAGGCACTTTTCGAACTATTCTAGGTATTTGGCTACAGGGAGCACCAGAAAGGTTATGGAGCTTTCAAGGCAGTCTATTCTTTTGCGAGAACATCCTTAGCATCTGAATTATTATTTGTTATATAACATTATTGAATAGCCAATAATTCGCCAGGCTGCTTGCCGAAATCTCTTCGGAATATTACATATGTTTATTCATTGTGCTATCCACTAGCAGACCAGATAGAAGTCTAACACTCTTGAACGATCTGACGATTGAAATACACCATTTTGCGTGTAGATGCTGTTTTTGAAACCTTCTGTGAAGCTCATCACCATAGATCATTTTCGTTCGTAAGTTAGAAGTCAGTCCCCTTAATGGAAACAGGCCATGCATGGATGTTTGCTATAATCTATCAAACAAGTCGAGTAGTTTAAGTCGGTGTGGGCTGTTGTAGCAGAAGCTCTGGAACTGTGCTTTTCTGAAGTCACGGCCGGAGGCTTGTATAGAATAATACCATAAAAGAGTTATTTTGAGACCGCCCAAATTATCCAAATATTGACATGACCGAATGGATCTTGTCGCCTGTGAGCTGGCGGCCGAATGGAGAACTGGGGTAGTTACAAACATTATACAGACAGATGCAAAGCGCGTAAATGAGGGAAGTGTTGCAGAATATAGCCATGTATTAAATACTATAGGTTGAGAATGATAATAATGAATAAAAACAGTACGATAGCAAAAGACACAGAAAAAAGTACTAGTGGTTGCGACGAAAGCCTGACGGATAATCTGTTGGATATGAGTCTAGCTTTTGTGACGCGCCGCTAGCTCTGAGCAGCTCGTAGACATATCTACTTTGTGTGGCGACAATATACCGTTTTCAAAGCAGAGAAATGTACAAATAGGAAATATGACTGGTTGAACAGATAGCGGACGGAAGCGAATCAATAGATTATAGAGAACTAGTTCTGCTGTTCGAGACGTTTGTGTACCAGTAATGTATATGCGATCGGAGGGGATGTTTTTTCTAAGCTTTTCTCTCTATTCCACTGTTTCGTTTGCAGCCTCAGCATGGCGACTTTGTCGCTAAAGGTGTCCGTTTTCGGTGGGAAGGCAACAAAAACGATACAATTCGACCCCAACATACAGGTAATAGTCAGTTTGTGTTATCCTTTGTCCCTATAAGCGTCCGTAAGCGAACGCGCGGTTGTAAGTCTATGTAAAAGCGCAAGTATACACATCATATCGTCATGTTGGAATTTCTATAGTCGAACCTTGAGATCCCAAACTGTGTGTCTTGTTTTAGTTTACATTTAGTTTGGTTTGCATTAATGTAGGATTGCATGCTTGCATCTCCAGCGAGCCGTCAAAATTACAAATTAGGTCGAAAGTAGGTTTACAGGTGTTGATTTATTAACTTATTGGAACTTGCTATCCTTGCTTCGTGATGATGACGACGATGAACGAAATACGTTTGCTAGGAAGTTGCAAACAAAAACCAATAAAAGTTGTTTTTTTATTTATTTTATAATAGGTGTTTGATGCCTGCCGGATTGTCCGTGAAAAGATCCCCGAAAGCAAGCTAGAAGATCTTAAGGAAGTTAGTCAGTATGGCCTCTTCCTTGTTGACGAAGACCCAAAGAAAGGAGGCATTTGGTTGGAGAGCTCGAAGACGCTCGGATACTATCTTCTGAAAACTGGGGTATGTTTTTAAGTCAGTTTCCACCCTTTATGGTCACGCTGCATCTCGTATAACATTTTTTTCTGTCATTTATATCGAACCCCATCGATAGATATAACAACAAGCTAAACAAATACTGGACACTGGAACAATAGCAGATGAAGCATTCTCTTATGCCGGAAATTTGCAGCATTAGAGTTCATTTAATAGGATTCGTCAGCTACAATAAAACACAACGAAATCATACTGTGGTGTTTTTTAGATCGACGTCGTACACCGTGTAGTTACGGTATCTGTATACCACAAATAGTAATAGATGTACAACGATTCAGTATGAAACTGTACTTATGGTAGATACGTTAGAAAAAGGGCATTTGTGTGTTCGTTTCTCAACGGAATTATGAAATGCAACGTGCACACCTTTGATAAAGCAAAGCTTGACGTATGTCTATGTAATCCGGATGTACGCCAATCAACTACTGAAACATGTATATATATTGTTATGGCACGTGCCAACAATATACCAAGAATGAGCTGTAAAGCTGCAAAGCCGAATTTCTTGCCTGCTTGAGGCCTGTGAAACATATTAGGACGTTGGCGACAGAAGCTTGCCTATTGATCTTTGCCAGGTACAGCTCAATCCTGATTCAAATGTGTTGGAGACAACGCGGACCCCTGCAAGGAGTTCAGGTTTCATATATTTGGGTAGTGTCCACGAGAACTATTACTTTTCTATTATGTTTGGGTCCAAAGGGTTGATAAAGACCTATACGCGTTCACCTGCAATAAGTATAGAAGCGCGCAAGAAGTATAGAAGTATAGAATAAGTACTAAAGCGTTCCTAAAAGACGTCAAGGAATCGTGCTAGTGTAATGATTTCGTGATTTACCTTACTATAGTGAACTTCGTGAACTGCCTAACTTCACCGCTTTGGCGAAGCTTTTACCGGGTGTATTTCCGACTTCGTTTCCAAACACACGTGCCTGCGTAGATGTCAGCCAGGTCCAATGTATTAGCGTGGCACAAAACGAAAGGTCCGCTTCTGATGGTGCTTGCCACAGGGTTGAGTAGGCTTGAAATAACAGATATGAAAAGAACGCAGCAGACGGACCCCCAAACATCTGAGGTCATCGTTAGACTTGATACAAGCGTTGGGTATAAACAAGCTCTTTTATGGAATGAACGGAAACGCAGCTTTGTTGCGGATTGCCCTAGCCCACGCTGAAGCCACGATCATGTTTTGACACCCCAGAAGGGGGTGAATGCAGGCATTCAAAAAACTGTATAGCGGCCACTGAAGTATTTCGATATTGGCGTCAGCATGTATCCACAGGTTGAAAGGAGTATGACAGCTTGCGCCTGAGTCTGAAGCCTAGAAGGCTATACGCGTGTATTCAAACATCTGTCCTCATTTAAGGAAGCTGTAATTAGAAAGGGCGATCGATTGCAGAGATAGCGAGATGCGCACGGGAAAGGCTTAACGGGGCTGGTTTTAACGGAAAAAAAAAAGATTCAATTTGAGCGAACAGAACAGGTGTTGCAACGTTCCAGGGAAAGTGCCGTAGATGACTAAAGAACTTCGCGGTAGCACACCTTGACCAGCTTTTAAGCGGGTGTTATGGCCATATTCGGAAGTTTTCAAGGAACTAACCAGACGCGGACTGGTCTAAACCGTACGTATAGGTACTAGGGCGCGCGGCAATAACATAATAGATTAATATAATAGAACATGCTCCTATATGAGGCCGAGGTGTAAAGCAAATAAATCCTATTTGTATTGATATTAGTGTCATTGTTAAAATATATATAGAAAATGAAACGTTTTGACGATGACAACTAGAATTAAGCAACGGATATTCGCAATAGGCTGTATCTGTTGATAATGAAGGCTAGCACACAGCGACCGTCCTACAACAATCGAATTTAGGTGTATAGTTTAACGTTTTTTGGTAATAGTTATTTTCATTTGAACCTGAATACCTGAGCCTAGTTATACCATACACTATTTAACAAAAAGGACTTGCGTATTTTGTATATAAGCAAAGTTAAGAATTTAAAAGCAGAAAGGGTTCCGTATCGGAAGGTGTATAGCAGTTGTTCGCCATTGCAGCGTCCACGTTAGATGGCATTGTTACGCGTACCAGCTGATGAGTCGTGATAATGTTATCAAGTGTTTTTCTATTAAGACCTGTTACCCGCAGTGAAATGATAGTGATATAGTCACTTAAAAGTAGGAACTTAATTTGTATTTACGCCACTGCGCCGTGAACCAGCCATCTTTGAGTCTGGAAACAGCGATATGCTGTCCGACGAAGAAACGAGAAGGACGCAGCAGCTAACTATGACTGAAAACCAGACGGATGTCTCGTATTTATGTCCTGATAGGCCATTGCTGAGTGGATCTGTTTTGTGCTAGGAAATATTTGCTCGTTGGCTAGCAATGCCTTATGATTTAGTCGATATTGCCTGCCTGTTCCTTTGTAACAAATTCAGACCAAATATGGCTTTCGTTTAAATAATATATATGTAGTTAAAGTAGTAACTGGTGTCGCTGCTCGAAATAAAATAGCGTATCAGAATCCCTTCTTCTTAAAAAGGTTCACGAATTGCTTAGGATAGAACTTGATCAAGTCTCTCCAGAAAAAATTAGTCTCTCTCATCCCGCTGCGTTCTGCTACTCGCTTTGTTCCTTCCAAGAATCAATTTCAAGCTGACACTAGCTTGACTGTGGCACAGCGGAAAGCAGTGATAAATTTGGGATGACAGCCTGTTTGCTTTTTTTTTTTTTTAGTTAGTGATATCCCGTCAGGTGTGAGCCTTCGATGTTTTCCGTTCATGATCGAGGTTTCAATTCAATGATCCAGCAGAGTGGAATTAAGGACCCTTAGGGTAGTTTAAATCCGCTCAAGTGTAATATTCAGTCTCTATTTGCGAACTGTGCACCCTTTAGCTAGCAATAAACCTATGATCGGAGAACATTTTATGATAATGCATTGCTTAATGAAAAAGCGTATGTTTAATTAAATTACTAGTAGCTTATAAGGGAATGAAAACAGTTTGTTCTATTTCATCGTCATCTTTTACTTGGACATTTGAGTGCCTTTAGATGCTTAAGCACATATTAAAACCCCGTATAGATGTTACGAGGACATATCTGACCATGCCCCATTTGTAGGTTCATACGCAGCAGGGGTCAATTAAATTGCCCAATGGACAGTGTAGCCAGACATGCGGTTTACTGTCCACTGTTATTGTGCATGCTCCTATATCGATTTGCCATAGATAGCTTTACTTCGTACTTCTAACATCTCGCCTTCGCGACCTATCTGGAGGCCTTATCCCCGTGTTAGTTTAGTTCATGTCCTAACAGCTATAAATGAACATTCAGCCAGCATGAACATGAAAACCTTGCGCAACTTATCCTTAGCAGTATTCAATTTATTACGTATTAGTGTATATTCATTTTCAATCGAACCAATTTACGCTAAGATCTCAAGATTTCATGTGAAAATTCACGTAATCTGCTCACATCAGCTATATTCAAACCATTTCAATACTGTATTAGCGGATGTTTACAGGGAGAAACCTGTTCCATATGAATTCGGGTACAATAATGTATATGTTGTTTTTTTTTTTTTTGTTGTTTTATGACAAGGGATGCGTTAGAATGTTCGCTTTAGCCATTTGGCTGCCCCAATATTTGTGCGATCAGGGACATAGCATAGCCAGGCACTCCTTTTAAGCCATTTAATACAGGCGATTACGTTAAATGGATGCCAACGTGTACACTATGTATTATTTTAACATCTTACTGCTCGTTTAGTTCTAGCTCGATCGCGCGTAGAGTAGAAACTTTGCTAAGTGGGTGATTTAGTAAAAAGCATGATTTTCGCATTCGCGAATCTTGCGATGATGAGTTGACGACCCACGCCCTCCTGAGAGTGGACTGCAACCTGCCGTGTCACCCTCTCGTGAGACAGGAGAACGAAAAAAAAAATATCTGCGTTGGCCTACTATGAGGCATCTTGAACGCTTCAGGTTTATGAGCAAGCAACACTTCTGCCCTATTATTGATATATGTCGTTATTTGAACGCCTCCTATAGTCGGCTGTCTAGTTCTGACAGCGAGAGAAGTGAACCTTAAATGAAACAAAGACTACTTTGTCGCTAGGCGGAAAGCCTCTATACTGCACTAGAAATGAACACCATTCAATTTAAAGTACATACAATTGTAGGTAATAGGACACGTACATGGAGAAATTGAATGTGGTAACTTTTTTTTTTGGCTAAGTATCGTCTGATTCGATGCTTTCGGGCAAATTCGATCGTTTTCAGTTGTCTACTCTATAGCAAGCACTTTATATTATGCACAAGACCAGATTCTGACCGAAAATTTCTTCATTTTTAAAATTGACTACTAATCATAGCGTTTAAATCTCTCGTTGTGTCAAATCATTCAAAAACGTTTTCGATGAACTACCAGGTTACTAGATGCTTGTTGAAGCCGCGGAGTCTTTTCGAGCTATTTGGGGGTCAAGTACGTTATCGCCTTAGTTGTTCTTAGTGTGTACTAATAACTGTTGAGTGTTTGATAGCTAGGAATTGGTTTCTTTAAGTAAGAACGGCTGTCCATTAGCCTCTATTGCTTAAGTAACTCGTGTATATACTCGTGACGGACAACTCCGAGATCTAGGCATTTTCCTGCACACGCACCTAAATTTTCCTAAAAACACCTTATGAAGTTCGGATATGTTAAAAATTACACCGCTTATTATTATTATTATTATTCAGCTCTCTTTTGGTCCGGTGAACTTCGGTCCCTAACGAGGAGTGCTTTCTTTGCGAAGTAGATTTGGTCAATGGTCTATAGTCAAGCAAACGTTTTCTCGTTCGATACATGAATTAAGCATCTTCTGCGTTTTCAGGACTTATTAGAATACCGAAAGAAAATGCGAAACCTTCGCATTCGGCTTCTTGATGGTACCCTCAAAACAGTCCTCGTTGACGACTCGCAACCTGTGGCCAATATGATGGTTGTTATTTGCTCTAAAATAGGTAAGTTTTGTATACACAGAAAAAAACAAAACAAACATAACAGATTCGCTCAGCTTCGAAAGCAATCATCTGATCTACAACGAAAGAGCAGTTCTATGTAAAAGGAATATCGTAATCTTGGCAATTTTTTTTCCGTTCTGCCCTATATCGTAATTATTAATTATTTTATATAGTATAGCGTTCCACTGTTGAACTAAAAACGTCGTCAAAAAGCGTGCTCATCCTGACCAGTATGAATATAGGACGACTAAATTGAAGGGAGCGTCATTTGAGTTTACCTGCGTCGAAATAATAAATTAGCTATAATTTTGATTGCTTAATAACGAGTATCTCACGTCTCATGGCTGTTAGCATCGTAAGATCTGTCGGCAGTGAGAGCTGTCTTCACAGGCTGTGGTACTATTTGTCGTATATTATGTTAATATGTTGACCTATAGAGTTTCCTACAGAGTGCTAGCTTATAGGGGATCATTTTCGTTTTATTACGCGTTATAGTGATACCTGATAGAAAGAATACTACGGATATACCAGCTAATGTTCTCATTTACAGTGAAAACATAGCCTCAAAATATGGTTGACGTAGTCACCATATAAACCGAACATATAAATGAATACCGAGAACGATCCATACCTACGACCCTTAACCAGTTAGTGAGAGACGCTGAAAGATATAAACGAAATTTCGGCGAGAGGACCATTTGTTTGTTAGAAGGCCGGTGTTGATGTTAAAACACTTAGCATTCAAGTCAAACGTTATCTTTGAAATGGCTAACTCCATGCTATCCCAATGACCAATCATATATATAGCCATGCCAGACAAGTATTATAGCACATCCAATTGAACGCTTATTGCAGCATATATTGGTCTGAGCTAGCGAAATTGTAAACAGAACGTGCTCGCGTCCTGCTCTCTTGCATGACGGTCTGCCCACAGGGTTCTCCGCCTGGCTTTGGCCATCGTCCGATGAAGGATGCAGTTAGCTAGCACTAGAATAACAGGCGTGAGGCAGTACATCTTCGGTTTTTTTTCGATCGTGGTGTGTCCTTTGCTGTTCTATGCCATTTTGTCATTGGCAGTCTTCTTCTGCTGCCCGACCCGCGAGGCCTTCCTACACGCCATCAGCAATCGTGGACTGAACTAAACTGGCGGAAACAGGGCATGTGGCCTGTTTGTGTCTGCTGTCACGATCACTCTTATAGGCCATGGCCTGTTGTGTTTGGTACCACGGGCCGTCTGTGATCTAGACAGATTATTCCGTCGAGTTCACACGAGCTGGAAAACCTTTTGCTGTCAAAAAGCCACTATCTTTTCCATAAGCAGTTGAAGCGTTCAAACAGAAGGGTTTCTCTGAGATATCCTTGTAATCGTTTTTTCTCCAATATAGTGTCGCCTTATGTGGATTTTAAATACCTCAAGTAGTGAAGCCAGCAAGATAAGTTAACTTTGTTAGCGGATTAAGTTTACGGATCAGGAATCGCGCAGATATATGCGTCATCGTTAATTAGCAGATTGTAACACCTGTCGAACAACACGTTGCAGTCTTGTGTTCCAGGTCCGAATCAGTCAATTGCTCGCTGACCTGGCCTCGCAATTTGCTTTCGCGGCACGTCCCTGTTTGATACCTAGCCAACTCTTCTATTGGCTTAAATTGCCTAACTGGTTATCGCTTGGTTTTGTTTTATCTTTCCAAGTGAAAAAATAGCGCCCACGAACATAGAATAGGAAAGACGACGCTGGGTTTATTGCCTTACTGGGCAAGCTTACAAGAGTATTTGCCACGCTTGACTGTCTTTTCTAGGAAACGATGGGTTGGCGGTCATGACGCGCCCACGAATATGCTGTGGCCGCTCTACCTCTGGTCACGCGGTTTTGATGACAAATGCAACACCAGCCGGGTGGGCCTCACGGCGAGTTCGTGGCTGTGAGTTGTAACAAACGAATAATGCCACTGACTGCTGCCTATGACAGACTATCGTTTGGTACGATTGGTGCGGCGTGGTGTCGTGACAGGGGTTCCCAGTATCTTTTCCTGCTATGTTCTACTAACTCCTTGAACGGAGAAGGACTGACAGTGGCCCTGTCGCTGTTTCCGCCCTTGAGTTTGAGTGATTGATGACCAGCCGAAGCTTGTTAGTATTATTATGGTCGCGACAGTCGACACGCGTCTGTGATGTGTTGGCCTAGATGTGTATGCGTTAATGATTGAAATGGCTTCGGGTTGAGGGAGGAACTGGGAAACAGTCCTATGTTGTATAGGGGGTATCTCAAATGGGCGGGAGAGGAAGGAAGTCGAATTTGGATCCTTTCGACTACTGGAAATTCGATTCGGCTTAATTAGTACGTTCAACGCTAATTGATATAACGTTTTTCTGCTTGATATCTGGGCTTTAATTAATGTCTATTAAGAAGTACGAGTTCAGCGCTGGCTGTTCTCGCGTCACTTCAAGAAGAACGGTTGAATAAATTCACAAATAAGTTCACGTAGCTTATTTAAGCCTAACATGTTGCGAAGATGCTCCACATAAATATAAACATGACAGTAAAATTGAGGCTTAGTAGATCTTGCTGACCGGAAGAAGCTCCCCTGATGTAGCTGAATCAATTTAAGCATGTTAGATATCTTAGCAACTTTGTCGCCTTTAACATCTTTGTCCATTCGAACTGTTGTTCCTTATATGCAGGCATTACAAACCATGAGGAGTTCTCATTGGTACGCGACGTTCCCAAGGAACCTCGCGAGGAAGACCTCAACGAAAAAGAGAGAACGAGCACACTTACATTACGACGAAAAGATAAAATGCAAACGCTCAAGAAAAAACTCAAGACCGATGACGACCTTAACTGGGTGAGTTAGGCAAAAGCTTCTGGCGTCCACAGGTACCTCATTGTAGCCGCAACGCTCTACGCAACATTGTAGTGTTTGAGTTACCCTTGACGGGAAATTTAACGTGTAAAATGAAGTAAGGTCGAATGAGGGCAAGGCCAGCGCCTGCCTTTAATAGCACATTCGCAAGCGCAGGACGCTACGTGAGAAATCAAGCACGGTAAAGGAGGATTTCTGTACAGGTTATTGCGGTACAAACGGTGTGGCACTTTGCTTCACTTTTTTTGGCAGCGAACCTAGATGTCGCGTTTGACCATGCATTGTTACTGTTTTTGCGACTTCAACCATTTATGCACGTTCATGGAATTGCAGTAAAAACAAATGCGAATTTCGAAATCGTTCGTCATTGCGTAACGTTGACGCCGAGCATTTCAACAGATTAATCGTCGTAAAAACGTAGGGCAAACGTCATAATGATAGACCCCATTTGCGTGTGAAGAGGTTTGTCTGCTGATGCAGATTATGAAGGTTGCTAAAGCAATAGATGACACTCGTTGTCGGTAGTTATAAACAAGAACATATTATTACATAGAACAATAATATTAGCTGTTAAACATGTCTCATCTATGAGTAAGACAACTCGTGCTGGTGTTTATTTCCAACAGCGTGACTATCGCAGATATTCATGCAAACAGCAGAGCTGATCACAGTACTGACCGTTTGTACTTTGTGACTGCCTACCTTATATTGAAGCTATACGGCAAAACTAGCTTTGTTATTGTCTCGGTTAGCGGTACCATCCGGCTACTGCTATGTAATTAATCTTTGTTGCTTTTCTGTCTCTAGAGTGTCGACTGTTTTGACATCATAATGGCGCATCTCTATGTTCAGTTCTCGAAACTATCTAATGTCGGACGAGTCTTACGGACCAACTGAGTGCGTGGGTAATACTGGTACATTTTGAAGTACGTCTTTTCACAGTTGTTCGGAGTTGCCGTCCAATGTTTGTTCTGCCACTGCCGTTTTGCGTGAATGTCTGAACGTCAGAGCAGCTTGCTGAGCGTAGCATTGGTAATGCGCCCACCAGAAAGACACTATGAGGCTTTCTTACGATTTTAATGGACATTTTTATGTAAACCAGTGACGAACTTTGAAACCACTTGACTGAGGGGACATTGTTTTTACTATTCGAGAAACACGTAGAGATATATTATGTAAGGGTATGACAAAAAGCTTCTTAATTCGCTTGCGGCGTTAATTAAAATTCCGGTTGTGGACAAGAAATGTCGAAGCCCTGTCCTGATATAGGCTGAATGTAGGAAAATGAATAACAGTACTTACATCAAATTATTTGAAATCTAATGGAAGGCCCTCAACGACCCTTTACTCAAACTGCACGCACAGAACCGACCCCAAAGTAAACGTGTGTTTCAGCTCAATGGACAGATTAAATAGGATAATGTTCACTGAAGATTGGCATCTCATTGCGAGCTAGACTGTTAGATAAATTCTTCTATTATTCGAAAACGTTTGAATATGCCATTTCATACTTCATTCAGTGTATACATATACGATTGATGTAGAGCCATGGCTATACTTTTTGTTATTTCAGGTGGATCACTGCAAGACACTCCGTGAACTAGGCATCGTTGAGGATGAAACGTTGACACTTCGTCGAAAATATTTTTTCAGCGATTCAAATGTCGACTCACGAGACCCCGTTCAGCTTAATTTAGTTTACGTTCAGGTATTTCATCTGTTAGTTTGATTTTTCCTATCGTCTTCTTTTTCTATTTCTCTACAAGCGACAGCTCGTTGTTAATTGGCCAAGACCCAAAACTCATTCAGCAACATTCTCCTTCGTAATAGTAATACTACCTGCTTCAAAATGAAGATTCATTTTTTACTATATTTCTAATTGTTCCAGGCGAGAGACGCAATCTTGAATACGACGCATCCAGTAACTGTGGAAGAGGCTTGCGAATTTGCAGGTTTGCAGTGCCAGATCCAGTTTGGAGACCATGTTGAGGGAAAACACAAAGCAGGTTTCCTTGAGCTTAAGGAATTCTTACCAAAAGGGTATACGAAGATCAAAGGCATTGATAAGCGGATTTTCGAGGTAAGCGAATCTGATCCCGAATCCGAGTTCTGCACCCAATCAATGAGCTAAGCGCAATTTCACCATAATCAACAACCGTAAATTTGAGCCTGTACGTATTTATCTGGTTTTATCTCTCGCGTCTGTTCTACGTACCAACAAAAAATACCCTTAACTGTCTTATATATGTGTACCCGTAGTTGCATATTCAATATGTGAGGAAAGATCGCCCGAGTCCAAACAAAAAGGTATTTCTACTGAATTTCTCCTCACCGAACCATACGACTGCGATAGAGACCAGTATGAAACATGAACGGTCTTGAACTAATAGTTTTGTCCATTGACAAATGGTTATTTGTACCAAACGGGTGCTAATGCTCGTTTCTGTGCAACCTATCGCTACCATTCAATCTATGACATGACCACTAGGAAGATATTACCTTAGCTACCCTTGGCCATTTCTGGCACATTGCCTAATTTTTGTTACTTTCCTGTTGATGATGACCTTTTTATTGCACTATTATACATATATGGGCAAACTACCGAATATTGGGCGGCTCATGAGGATCGTGCGACCTCCGCGCGCATTCACCGCGTTCGCATATATCTGATGGACAAATGGATGAGTTATCGTGGAACGCCCCTTTACAACTGACTGACATAGTAGATGTGCCAAGCTACGGAAAAAAGAAGGCGATAGGCTCCGTTATTACGCTGACCATTGTTGTTGTTGTACTGCCGTCATCGTCGCCTTCATTTGTTGTCAGTGTATTAGTAATAGTCGGGTACGATCTCTTTCTACGTCTATCGTCTGCTTCGCGGAAGGCAGATGCGGCCAGTGGCCGCTGTAAAGCGCACTCGCAGATGTTCGCCTACCCATTGTCACTAGCAAAGCCTATACTACTCAAGCAGTACGATCAGGCTACTTTAATGTTTTCATTGCCCTTTGTTAGACCGATGCTGCTTGTAGTTGTGATTCGCCATTATGTTTCTTCTATCCGTTTTCGTCCCTTGTCGATGTTTTTCTTCTTTGGTAGCGTGTCCTTGCAACATCACGTATCAGTGCACAGCCACGCACGTCCAACGACATACGGACGCCGGGATATAGTCTATGCTCAATTACGTTAATGTGTATACAATGCTGGCCTTAAGCGCATTCGTGTTGCTGCGGCCTCGGTCAGTCCGCTAATGCTGTGACCGTTAAGGTTTGCCGTCGACAACACCAACTCTCGTGTGGTCACGACTGCTGTAGTTGACACTGTTAGTGTCTCATTATAGACTGTTACTCATTGCCGAGATCTCTGAAAGGGTATTTCTCACCGTTGTACACAATGATCAGCAGCATCGTTCTCAGAGAGATTTATCATCTGTCCTCTGAGCAGCAGCAACCGGAGTGGTAGCAGTCTGTTCTACCTACCTACTTTGTCATCCTTTTTTTCCATGTTTCTGTCGTCTGCTCTACCAGTGAACCTAGGCGAAAACGACCTAGGCTTCTCTGCTGGGGGTGTGTTCACGGTACGCTCCCTGTCTCGTCTTCACTCTCGCTGTGTGTCTATGTGCTCCCTCTATTTTCGCTGACACGAAGGCTGTGGCAGCGCTTCGAGCTGGTCAGTCGCCACCTTACCACGCCTGCCTTAGGGCAAGCTCGAGGATGACGGTGTCGTTTCATTCGGCCAAAATGGGGTCACAAATGTACGATGTTACGGTTTCAGACTGGCTGTTCTTTACAAAAAGAGTCGGCGGGGCGTGCAATGTTGCTTTACTTCGCTTGGCCGTAGGTTAACGGGCGCCGGTGAGCGGTTAACTGTTATTGGGATCGCTGCTGGTGGTCAGTTAGCAGTGGTTTCGGCACTGTTCTCTGATCTCGGAACTGGCCGTAGTCTGAATGAATTGGAAAATGGACAGGATGAGTCAACTAGACCTGGCGTGACCACATGTACCTGCTACTTCCTGTGCAAATTGATCGCCTATCTCAGTACGATTTCTAAGCTATAGCCGGCTGATCTAGTCAACCTTGAGATAAGATTATTCGCTTTTTAGCGGGACGGGTTAACAGAACCCACCAAAACAAATCACTAGATTCATTTATATCCAACGTTGTACGTTCATGCCATTACAGGTATAGGTTAAAGTTTGCACAGGATTTTGTGGTTTAGGTTAAGTACAAATCAATACGATAAGAGCACGCAGTAGGTCAAGTTATTTTTCTTTGTACAAACGTATTTTACATATGAACATTTCTAAGCCCGCGCTGTTTCTGTACTTTTATTTCTAGAGATGGAGATTAGGTTCAACCAATGACGTAAACGTCTTGACTCGTCAGATTACTGACATGCATAAATTTAAAGTGTTCCACTATTGCTTATGGTAACTCACCGATATTCTATAGTATCTCGGTAATCGAATACGTACATTGCTAAAAAAAAAGTCAGTTACATGCATTAATTGGACGATTCACTGGTTTTTATATAAACCTAAGGCTCAAAATGCAACAGCCAGGTTCAAAACGATGCGGAAATGATACACTAACAAACAGGCTGCGTAGGACTTCTTTTAGAAAATAAAAATAGGTTTTTGTCGCTTTATAGGTATTCCTTTGTAACGCATATATGCATTCCCTGAAATAAGTTTCGTACCTTACTAACCGATTCAGCGGCGCCAACAAGTTCTGTCAATGAAGTTTTCTTTTTTGCCAAATACCTCACAAACTATAATTTGCAACGGAATTGCTTGTGGAACTTTACTTCCAACCGGCGTTACAAACACGATTGGCCAAATATGCGGATCGTAATTTACCGCATATCCAACCTCGCCACCTAAAAATGTGCCACTGTTGTTCTGTAATACGGGTTTCGTATCTCTTGGCTATACAAGCTCATTTGTTTTCTAACAAATGTACTTCTTCCATCTTTCGCATAGAGTTAGGAAGATCCCTTAAGTCTTTATCATTTGTCTCTTCCCAAGTGTCAAAGACGTTTTACATTTTTCGTCTGCTAATGCCCAAATTTTAGAGTCAAACTGATAGCTCTCGCATCGGCCACTATCCCGTGGTTTGAAACTGTCGCAAAGTACAGTCTGATGTCTAGAACAATGTTATCAACTAGCGACAAAGAAGACCCGTTGGGCCAGCAATATGGGCGCATATTTTCTTTTGATGTAAACTTAAATTGTGAGTAAATTTATTAAAAACTAATCAGAACAAGTAAATACGAGGCAAATTATAGAAGATATCTAAAGGTTAGCGAGAATGACGAAATATGAAGACATCCTAGCCTTCCTTTGTATCTTCTGCTAGCGTTTCTCAGACGTTTGTTTTGACAAAACGAATGAAGGCTTGGTCACTTGGAGGCGCTGGTTTAGCGGCTTACGTCGACAACTTTATTCAAAGAAAGTAGGTTCTGGGACAAAAACATGTTTCAATATCAATACTCAGCTATTTAAAAGTCTATCGCACAACTAATGATCTTGAGCGAAAACAAACTGAACCGCGAAGAACAGCGTATGTGCTAGTCTTTGAGTGGCTAATTCTATGTATACCGTTCTGCCAGAGATGTTTTTATCTAGCTTTACACTTTATCTGTAAAGATCAACCGCATCGTAAATTTGTTGGTGCCTTATTATTATTATTATCATGTGTGCAATCTGAAAAAGCTGATTAGAGTACATTTCTGTATCAGATAATGTGTCCCTTCCTCCTTAATGATTAGAATATATGTATATTCTAATGATATATTGTCTGCCAGTGGGGTTTAGAGTCAGACCGATAGCTCTCACATCACACAAGACAATATATATATATATATTAGCAAACACGTACCGGTAGAATATTTGACACTATAGGGGACTTTGATTTAACCCAATCAAATGTTTTGGCAAATTCTCGTCATTGGCTGAGGAGGTTTCTGAGCACCTCTGCTATCATCGACAAGCTGTGTCAGCCAATGGATTCGGTGGTGGCGCCGGCTCTTTGCGTGTCATTCATGGCTTTATCACAATACACTATACTGCACCGAGTACGATCGCCGTCTAAATTCGTTCCTAGCGCAATGAGCCATGACGTGACGAAACGATAAAAAAAAAAACAACTATGTTTCACCGTAAATTACACACGACGAAGGAACGCGTTTTGCATTGGGGCCACGTAAATCTCTTGGCGTAGAATCGCAGTGACATTGTGACGAACGGGAATTGCCGGCACCTCTTCGAAAGCGTATAGTTGGTTAACAGTTTACGAACGGGATTTAATTCATATCAATAAATTGGTATAGTGTAGAGCAAGAAAGGGGTTGGCGAGGATGAAACACGGAGGCAAGTGTGGTCGAAGCGTCCGATAGTGAAGGATCAGCCGATAGTCCAAAGTCTAGCCTACTGTTTTTATAAAGCTAATGTATCAGATAATGCCGTGTGGTCTCAATCGGAGATAGACCGCAGTACAAACTTTCCAGTGGCTTATCTTTTTAAAAATATTGGCTAGTATAAATAGAAGCATACCGTATTGCTACTTTTGACTAAGTCACAAACTTTTCTTTCTCTGATACCTAATTATAATGAAGAAAATGGCAACATATTGCTACCATCGCTTGGGCTATTCAGGCTTAGCAACGGGCCCTAAACGTGCTTTTTCATGCATCATATACATACATATATGATATGTGAGGTGGCCAGCAAAGCACCTAGTAAAAAAAAATACGACGCTGAAATACACAGTCGACTCAGTGACCAGCCGAATGGCGAGGTATTGCTTTTATAAGCTAATTTATTGTCTCGGCAGCCTAGGTTTTTTGGGAAAATTCTACAGGCTAGCGATGAACCTCTATCACCTTGTCTGAGAAGACTGATACCTAATTTGCCTAATAATTATGTAAACAGTTTCTTTCATAAGGTTATAAATATATAGTCAGCTCGGCTAATGTTTTCACACATAGATAGATTTATACGAGGGAGCCGCGGTTTGGGTTGTCAATGTGCGTGTCTTCGGGCGCGTTGCTACTATGCTAGCCATGAACGTGTGGCCATCGCTGATTTTAAACATGGCATTAGTTAAATTTGTTGGAAAATAAGCCAGAGCGGATAGCAGACAGCCGATCGAGAGAGACACCTGGTAACAGGATCAGTAAACTAAGGTAGGCCCAGTCAAGCTGTAGGCCCGCTTTTAGATGACCTTTATAGTAATATCTCATCGTCTAGACCTAGGATGGTTCAATATATTAAAATCTGAGAATAAATATGGGTTGCAAAAAAGCACATCTTGATATACATTAATATAGATAGCGTAACGCGACAAAACAAAAACGACATAGCTAAATGCGCTGGAACCTTCCTATACATAAAGAAGTGGAAATAACATTACTGGGTGTAATAACGGATCGTTTCCACTGAAAGTGCGTTCGTAAGGAAACGTACTACGCTTGTAACAAATATGGCGCAAATCACGCCTGTGTAAACGTACATACACAGCAAATTGTTAAAACACGTATGACCCGTTTTTCTACCTAAATGGCTTCAAGTCAAAGGCCGTCGGCGTCATCTGAAAGCTAAGGTTTGGCAGCAGTAGATCTGCTAAAATAGTTGGAATTCATTCGGACACAAAATACAGCGCCCTGAATATGAGTGACATTTCCGTAGAAAAATTATGAAGATGCATTGTCGGATAAAACTGCCTCAAGATGCTTCTTTTTGACAATTTTGATGCGAATTATTCTGCTCGTAGTGTTCGGTCGGTTACGTTGAAAAAAACAATTAAACAACTGAGAAAATTGTGCAGGACCGAGCAGAAGCCGACAATTAGAATTTCATCCTTCTTACTTTGTTGTCACGTGTATCGTTTTAGCTTACGCACTATTTTATCGTTCCTATGGCTGTCAAGACAGTCAAACAGCCCGAGAAATATTCTCTCCGCACCGTGTCAAGGTAGGGTTTCTTCTGTGCCCGCCATAAAACGCTTGTTTCTGTGAGCGTGTCTTTGCTGTGCTGTTTTTGCTACCCTCCGCTTTACCTACATGTCCCTTGTGAATGGTAAAATAGCGAAGTTTTTGTCATGGCTTTTTGCCTCGCTGTTATATGGAGGTGCAGCAATGTTGTAAGGGAAATGATACGGGGGTTCAAAGTGCTGCGAAGGCCGAATATCAAACAGGGGTGTCGTGGACCGACGCCAGACTGGCGGGCGCTACTTGGCGCAGTGCCAGTGTCGCTGTCCCATTGGGTATCCGTGGTGTATAAGGAGTTGTGCTTATTTAACCACGCGCTGGCCGTTCTTTGTACCTATGGTTATGGCAAAATCGGAATTGGGCCACAAATGATTGTATGCGTGTGTCCACCAAGCAGTATCTTGGTTGTCAGAAAATAACAGTATTAATTATTTGATAAAAGATTTATGCTGTGATGAGCTTTTATGTGTAGGCTTATTTCTCCGTGCCTCAAGGCCAACTTTTACCCTATTTGATTTAGGTAATGAGACATGCTACCATGCTAATGCTGACATTTCAGTCAACTGTATTGCCGCCTAGCGTTTTCTAATGGGTTACTTATTGTAAGGCCAGTCGATTGCCTAGAAGCTATCAATACGGCAGCTTGTCTGTTTTTGCTCTCAAATACCAATTTTCCCGTGGCTAGATAATAAATAGATCTCTCAACTGTTGTCTAGCTATCGGTCACCATTTCTGACGGCGGGCGCGTCAGGTATCTAGCACTGCGACAAGTGATTAACGCTCTTGACTCTAAATGTCACAGTACTTTGGAGATAGGCCGACCTGGGTTCTTTTCCATTCGGGCAGCAGTATATCATAAAGAAATAGAATAAATCGAGATTATCTTGTTTTCATTTCTTCTTGGGAAATTCTTATAAAAGCACATATAAAATAGTTATTATTTCTCAATAACATATACAGCAGCCAAGCGTCAGTACGTTGCGCATTCAGAGGATAGCTCCGAAAGTAATAGTTAAACAAGTGAATCTAGTAAGTATCATTTGGATTTTGAAAGATGCCTTATATACATTACCATTAAAATTAGAATATATTCCAAAGTGTATGTTACCCTTAATGTATGTGTCTGTAAATTATATTTTGCATTTATCCTAATATCGTGATGTACACCAGAGTTCTGCTTCAGTAATTCTACCTTAAATCCTACCTAAGCAAACCTTCGTCCCTTCTCCCCACTGTTATTTCCAATCCCTTCTACATCATTTAAGATTTAAGGCTTAGTTTGGCCTGGTTTTTTAAACCCGGCTACCTTTTAGCTTCTGCTCTCTGTATTTTAAATTACCCTGGGTCTAAGCCGTGACGTATTACTACGCAAGTCATCTAGTAGGAAGCATCCTCACTCTAACTGGGCCTATTTCAATTTCTCTTGAAACTTACGAAAAGCAGGCTTACGGTGCGAGGTATTTGTCCTTGTGTAAACTACTACATGCCATATTCTCTATTGCTTAATGGTTCTGATCTGTTTCATTCATGAACTTTGGATCTACAATATCCATGCTCGCTGTGGACGAAGGCAATGCAAAACGTAGTATTTGATTATGATTACTGCGACGCCTATGTAAGTATATTTTGGTGCGTTAGAGTCGGTACATTTTGCAGACAGCTACGATCGCTGCTGTTACCGTACCAAATAGGATTAGAAACGAAGCCAATTTTTATATGACCACATACAAAGGTTTGTGATCTATTTCATACTTTTCAGTGGCATCGGAAGTCCATGGGTCTCAGTGAGGTAGACTCCAAGGTGAGATACGTTCAGAGGGCCCGCTCACTCAAGACGTATGGTGTGACATTTTTCCTGGTCAAGGAGAAAATGAAGGGCAAAAATAAGCTTGTACCGCGACTTCTCGGAATCACGAAGGAGTCGGTGATGCGCCTGGATGAGCGCACCAAAGAGATAATAAAGGTAATATCATCAGCATAGACTAAGCTATAATCATAAATTAATGGTGCATTCCTTTTAACATGTTGCTTCGTTTTTATTTGTTTGGTGGAAAGACGCAGCCTAACGAGTGTAATTATAAACGTACTTAGTAAACTATATTCAAATCTGAAATTAATCTTTTACATGAAGCTGATAATTAGTTAGTAATAGTATTTGATCATACTTTAATAGGGGAAAATGATGTCAAACCTTACGTGTCGTTTTTGTTCCATTTCGACAATGAACAATCATTTTCAGGTGTGGCCTCTGACAACTGTGAAGAGATGGGCTGCCTCGCCCAATAGCTTCACACTGGACTTTGGCGACTACTCAGACCAATTTTACTCAGTAAAAACGCCCGAAGGTGAACAAATTGCCCAGCTAATTGCCGGTTATATTGATATAATCCTAAAAAGACAGAAAGCCAAGGATCATATTGGTATTGAAGGAGATGAGGGCTCCACGATGGTTGAAGAGTCTGTTTCCCCTGCCAAGGCCTCCACTATCCAGCTGACACCGGCCATTCAGCCTGTACAGCCTGAACTGCAAAATATTGCGATACCTTCTGTGGTTCGTCCTAGTCCCGAATCGGAAAAGATCGGTTTACCTGGACACGTGCCCATCTCCAGGCAGAAAACGGAGACAGGCACACTTACACAAGGCCAACGCGTACAAAATGTGAGTGACCACGCATACGTAGATCTGAAACAACAGTTAATTAACGCTTATTTTGTACTAATTATGTCTATTATGACATAAGCAGACGTTTGACGTGCCGCTTTGTCGGCACTCGCATTGCACGTCTTTTTGTTCCTGTTTCTATTTCCTGTGTTTGGCCTCTATCTATCTATCTATCTATCTATCTAATGGCCTCTTAAAGTGTGTAGCCACTAAAACTCTACCGGGAAGTGCAATTATAACCATCACTATCATTTTTGAAATCTCAGCCGCCATTACAAGCTCACGTGGCTACATTGATCGAATCCCCACAACGGGCAGTCATCACTGAGGCTATCAAGAAGTCGTTCGATCATCTGAACAGGCCGATTGTATACGTCGACCTTGGCAAGGATTCAGGCTCGAAGAAGTGGAAGGAGTGTCAGCTGGACACCCATAAGCAGAACATTCAAACTCATATTGCTGCTATGAACGCCGCCACGGCACACGTGATCACGCTTGCATCAGCGGTCAAGGTTGATGCCCCAGCTGTGTCTAAGGCCATTAACGTGATGTGAGTATTTAAAAAAAGAAAACAAGTTAAATGTAACATCGGCAGAACTGACTATCACCATAAAGATTCATTATGCATGTGTACACGTCCTCAAAATAATGAAGAACATGCTAGGAGCTCAAACACATCCGTCATTAAAAAACCAAACACTGTTGTTATTGTGATGTGACTTTTTGTTGGTGCAGTACGACGACCCTGCCTGAGATGACCAAGCACGTCGCTACCATGGCAACTCTGATCGAGGACGACAGGAATCGCGGCGACCTCATAGAAGCTACTCGTCAGATGTGTAACGCGTTCAGCGATCTCCTCAATGCCGCAGAGCCGATCGGACCACCTCAACCCCAGAAACTCGTTGTGGCTGCCGCCGAGGTCGCAGAAAAGACCAAGGCCGTATTATCCTCGATTGCCGAAGAGCCGGAATGGGACAATGAAACAGCTGATTTGCTGCTAGCACTGGCCAAGGGTGTCGCTAACGCTGCAGCTGCTCTTGTGCGGAAAGCTAAGGACGTTGCTAGCCAGACTGGTGATCAAGATCTACAAAACAAGATCATTAATGCAGCTGCTCAAGGAGCTTTTGCCACGTCTCAACTCGTATCCACCGCCAAGGTATTATAGTACATGGATGTTTTGTAAACCATTATTAATATGGAAAATAATAACGGGGGAAGATTTTTGTTTGTTTTCAATTAAGATAATATATATCTCAGCAATATAATGCACGAACTTTAGATGTATTGATACCTATTTACATTCCAATAACAATAAGATTTGATCTCTATAGGTGCTCGCGCCTACTATCGCGGATGTCGCCTGTCAAACGGAGCTGGAAAATGCTGGTCGCGAAGTGTCCCGTACGGTGGATAACATCGTACTTGTCTGTCAGGACGCAACCAAAGATCCTGTTCTTCTGCAAAGTCTAAAGGACGCTGCTCGTCAGGTGGCTGATGCCCTTCAGGAACTTCTTAGTCAGGTCAAGGACATCAGTGTGCGGGCTAAAGGAACCCGTACGGAAGCGCACCAAGGCCACGTTGCTACCATAATGGACGCCACCGATCGTTTGTTCGACTCTGGCGCCGATACTAAGGAAATGGTGCGCCAGGCCAAGATTGTTGCCACAGCGACCTCTCAACTCATACAGGGCATCAAAGGAGATGCGGAACTGCAAACAGATGCTGGCCAGCAAAAGCGCCTCCTTCAAGCTGCCAAGGTACTTGCCGACGCCACTGCTCGCATGATTGAAGCCGCAAAAGGATGTTCAAGCAAGCCTAACGACTTCGAATCGCAGGCAATCTTGCGTAAGGCTGCTGAAGACATAAGAGTTGCAACCGATGCTGCCAGCGGAAACTTCGTACAGAAAAAAGTTATTCAGCGACTAGAGGTTAGAAGCCCACGATGTTTATTCAGGCGTTGTGTGTGAAAAAAAGACTCGCATTAGTATATCGTTTATATAAACATACGCCAGATTTTTATTAGAGATTGTACGTATCATTTACATGTTTTTCATCAGCTCAAGAAACTTGAGCATAAACAGTGTGAGTGCGGGGTCAACTGTCAACAATAAGGGTACACCGTAGAAGAGCAACAAATCGTCTAAATAGATATTAGTGCTTTGTACCGAGTACATGTTACCAAGATGTCGCATTTAGAAGAAGCGGATATATTTGTTCCGCTAGTATGATGCCAATATTTTGCTATGATACTATACGAAAGCTAAATGTGTCTTCTAATCATAGGATCAATGGACATATTTTACTTTGCAGACCACCGCCAAGCAGACTGCCGCTGCCGCTAGACAGAACATTTCAGCAGCCCATTGCGCCGTGCCACAATCGGCAAATGAATCTCTTAGCCGGCAGCTTACTGAACAGGTGCGTGAAGTCGAAGGTGTACTACCTCGCCTAATGCAGGGCGTGAAGGCAAGGCAAACTTCGCCCAGCTATGACTCGCAGCTTGAGCTAATTTACGCCTGCGAAGACGTGACACGACCGTGCGAAGCGATGGCGTCTACTTCGAAGCAGCTAGCTGCTACTATTACGGAAACGACAACATCACAATTGCTGCATACCCGCGCCATGGAAATGACATCAATTCTCACCGAAATGCGAACATGGGTGACTAAAGCCAAAACTGTTTGTGGTCAAAAGGTAGAAGACTTGTCAGGTCCACTTACCACCATCGACGGGCTGCAAAAAGACCTCCGTGAGTATCGACATGCGACAGAGATGCATGATCTGCGTCCGCTGCCAGGCGAAAACACAGAAGTATGCTCGCTCAAACTTAGCGCTACCTCGAAGGTCGTAGGATCATCCCTTGCCCAAATCCTTACAGCTGCTTCCCAGGGGGATAAGGATTATCTGCTGGTTGCTGCTAGAGACACGGCTAATGCCCTTAAAGATTTTGTTTCTGCTGTCCGAGGTGTGGCTGCATGTTCGGATGAGCAGGACGCTCAACTCGCTATCATTGACAACGCTGCCGTTGTTGTTATGCGAGCTCGAGACCTTATTACGGCCTCTCAGGAAGTGGCTAACAACCCCCACCACCCAGATAACCCGCATCGTCTAACTACAATCGGCAAACAGGTGTCGACGTCACTTACTAGCTGCATTGGCATTCTGCCTGGCCAAAAGGCTGTCGATGACACCATTGCTGCTATTTCGGAATCTACACACACTCTTAACGAAGGTCTGTATCCGAGCAGCACCCGCTCGTACGGCGATCTACAGCAGGAACTGCAAAGCGCAGCTCATCGCCTACACAAGTCTACTGATAATGTCGTTGAGTTGGCGAGACTATCCTCGTCCAAGCTTACGGAATCAGTGCGGGAATTCGGTTCCGATTTCCATAACCTCTTCGATGTCGGTCTCCAATTGGCCGGGCAAACCCAAAACAGCGAAATGCATCCGTTAATCACTGCCAGCCTGCGTAACGTCTCAATTTCGTCGTCGAAACTTCTCGTTCTTTCATCAACTGCCGCTGACCATTCTGCCACCGCCAAAAATCAATTGATTGCAGCTGGTCGCGCTGTAGCTGACTCAATCAATCAACTGATCGACGTTTGTTCGTGCTCAGCACCTGGCCAAAAGGAGTGTGACAATGCTATTCGCTCTATTCAGAGTGCAAAATCACTCCTCGATCAGGCTAACGAACCGATATCTGACCTTAGCTATTTTGAGTGCGTGGACGTGCTCATGGATAAGCCGAAGATGCTGGGGGATGGTATAGCAGGAATTCGAGATACAGCCAAACATAGTCAGCACGAAGAGTTCTGCGCCGCTGTAAAACGAACCTGTAGTGCCGTTTGCGAAATGATCGAGGCATCGGCGCAGGCCGCTTACCTTATTGGCGCTTCGGAACCAAGCTCGGTAGCCGGCAGGCCTGGACTCGTCGATGCGGCACAGTTCTCGCGGGCTTCGCAGGCCATTGAGCAGGCATGTTTCCAGCTAACGAGCGAGCGTAGCGATGAACAGCAGGTTCTTACTGCGGCCACAATTATAGCCAAACATACGTCTTCGCTCTGCAACGCTTGCCGGATGGCCGCATCCAAGACACAAAACACAGTTGCGGCAAAACAGTTCATTCAAAGCGCAAAAGATGTAGCTGGAGCCACGGCGAACCTTGTTCGCGAAATCAAGCTGCTTGACAAGGATCCCAGCGAAGCCAATAGAAAGTGAGTCTTAAATTGATTTAAGCAATGACGTAAAATATAAATAAAGTGACGCAAACAAAGTATTTTAATAACTGAGCAATTATGATTACTAATTACAGAAAATATGGTAATATAGCGAAGATAAGAATTCCATATTTAATAATTAATCTGATATCGGTAGACTTCAAGCATCAGATGCTTTAAGTATCGGAAGGGAAATCATTAATTACTAGTCAGTTGTGTTTACTACGGAAATTACAGTGAGTGTCTCACCTGTGAAATCAGTACCTTTTTCTTCTGGCAATGATTTTGTTGTGTCATAGGGTTTGTCACCAGGCTGCCAAGCCTCTGATTGCGGCGGTCGAGAATCTGACTGCGTTTGCGGGGGCACCTGAGTTTGCTACGGTTCCTGCTCGACTGTCTGATAAGGCCCTTCAGGCTCAACAGCCCATCCTGGAAGCTGTCCGAAACGTCGTCCTCGGCACATGCAATTGCCTTAGCCACGCGAGAGATTTAGCTGTCAACCCCATGAACCCACCAGTGTGGCAAGGATTCTCAAAGGAAAGCTCAACGGTATCGGATTCGATGAAGAAATTGGTCACCCTCATCAAAGAAAGCGCGCCTGGACAGAAGGAGTGTGTCTACGCCATCGACAGAGTATGTAGACCTACTTTTTAATGCACTCGCATATACGCGGTGAAGCTGAAGTTTTCTGACAGTTTGAGTCTTCATTTTATATGCGTCAAAGTGGAGGGAGGGTGAAATGCAATAGGAATGAAAATTAAAAAAAAACGAAAATTCTGTAGGGTATCTTTCACTCTTATATATATATATATAAAGGTGAAAAGAGCAGGGCGCGGCCACCAAGATTTGCTTGACAAAGTTTACCCACCCTCTAAGCTTGATTTCGTCACTTTCAATAGCTGAATTCCAGCATCCGAACGCTCGATCAGGCATCGATTGCCATAATCGGGCAAACTGGTTCGCTACCCGCGCCACAGCTTGACTTGCGTACGAGCCAGGAACAAATTGAGCACGCTTGCCAGGCCATTCAGCAAAGCTTAGAACCGCTGCGAGTCGCAGCTAAGTGTCAGGCAGAACAACTTGGCCACTGCGTACTGCAGCTCGTCTCGTACTTTGACTCACTGGTACAGAATACACTTGAAGCTGCTGGCCGTATCGTGAGCCACAAACAACAAATGCTGCTTCTTGACCAAGCGAAAACCGTGTGTGAAGCTGCAATCCAGTTTCTGTACACTGCCAAGGAGGGTGCAGGAAATCCTAAAGCTCCAGACATGCTCCATCGTGACATCGATGAGGGAGCAGATGCTACCCGTGACGCTGTGGTAAGTTGAATACTACCGAATGAGGTAGCGATGCAACAACAGTTACTCTTTTGATTATTGTTGTGTTCGTGTCGCTGATCGCTCGTGGGGAAAGGTTACAGTGAAGCGTCAGACGTAGCTATGACTATTTCGTATGTCGAATAACACTGTGCTCAGTTTTCTAAGTGGAACCTCTTGTTTCTGTGGTAGAACGACCTTGTACAAACATTGCAACGTTCCGCGGCCGAGGCCGGCTTTGTGAGTGGGGTATTGGAATCGATCAACAACGCTATTGCCCAACTCGATCAACCAGTCGTGATTACACAGCAGGAGAGCTCGTTCGCTGACGTCCAGACCGAAATGGATCGCAATGCCAAAGAGATAGCCCGAATTGCCGGCGATATGGTTCATAAGTCGTTGAGCGATCTTCGTCAGCTGTCCTATCTGGCGACGGAACTCAGCCATCACTACGCTACGTTGGTGGCTACCAGCCGCACTGCAATTTCTGTAACGTCCAATAGTGAGGTAAGGATTCATATACTGCTGACTTTTTCTATAATCAATTATCGGATAGCCAATTATCAAACACGTTTTGTACGCATCCTTAACTAGCATTTTTAGACGAAACCTTCTCTATGGAAATATACGCAACGCCGAAGGGCTTGGGCGAGGCTAATGTTTGTCTATATGCTAATATATGGTTGAATAAAGATCTACTATTATAACATCTTGTAGTTACATCATTAATGGCGATCTTCTGTGTTTGCTGGGCTTTTCAGGAGCAAGTGAGTAATTATGTCTTTTTATGGAAAACTTTTATTGTCCGGAATAATCACTATTGCACAATTGGCTTGACACTTTACTATTACTATAGTCTTAATTATTCACGTCAATATGTTTTTTATGATCACACAATTCTGCTCTCTTCCAATCGAAGATTCCCTAATCAAGGTGCCCTAGTAGAATGCGCAGCAGCTCGAACCTCGAACGGATTTTACAGTATGTAGTATGTGCATGAAGCTGCGTTTCCTATTTCATACTTTTTTTTTTTTTTTTTTTTTTTTATACTAAGAAACTACTTCAGTGTAGAAGATAGACGCACAGCTTGGACTTGCAACTTGCACTCGTATTCCACGCTACAAAAAAAACTACTGATTGATGTAGGTCTTCCTTCAAACCTTTTTCTCGAATCCTTCAGTTGGCGTACCGCATTCGTATGGGCGTGCACGAGTTAGGTAAGGCCTGCGTGAAGCTTTGCCGTGCCTGTGGTTCAGCACAGGCCAATCAGGGTGACGCTGCCTGCCACCGTGAGCTGACCGAGACTTCGAAACAGACCGTGGAACGAGTGTCGCACATTCTGGCAGCATTAAAGGCGGGCTCAAGAGGTACGCAGGCGTGTATCAACGCTGCGTCTACCGTGAGCGGCATTATCGGAGATCTTGATACGACAATTATGTTCGCTACAGCCGGATCGCTAAACGCTGAACGCGACAATGATAAGTTTGGCTATCATCGGGAGAGCATTCTCAAAACGGCTAAAGCCCTGGTTGATGATACGAAGGCTTTGGTGGCCGGTGCCGCATCCAGTCAGGAACAATTGGCAACAGCCGCCCAGGACGCTGTGCAGACAATTGTCCAGCTAGCAGATGTCGTAAAACAGGGTGCCGCTTCACTAGGACCTCACAATCAGGAGGCGCAGGTAGGTAAACGCTGTTTAACTGCGTGACCGATGACGCCTATGCTTATCAGGTTTACATATTATAGAAGAAAGCTATCCGAGATGATATTCGTTGAAAGTGATCTCTTATTTAGAAAGGTTTGTTTAGTTGTAGCGTATATCAATAGCTAGCTATTCGGATCATATCAGATAGTTTTGTGGATACATAATATAATCATTTGAAACTTTTGGTTAACCGATTTTGGTGTAATTGGTCTCGTTTGAAATACAGAGGTTGACCAATCGCAGAAGACAGAAGTACACATTTCTGTTTTCTGTAGTTGGCTTTGCTATCTCTGATGCAGAATGAGCCATAGCATTTATATTTACTTCATGATCTTGAATGAATAGTAAAGACTGCCTTAGCTAACAGCTGTGCGTTGTGACTTTTCGGTAAATTCTATGGCTTCATATCTTCCCATTTCGTGTGTGCTTGATTGCCAGACTAACGATGGTGTGTTATCTCAAATAACCCAATGAGGAAGACGTTAATCAACAGAACGCCTCAGAGATGAGCTTGAGATCTGTCGCTGTTTTGATTACGGCTTGGTTTACTATGTGATGCTCTTTCGTCGATTTTCCGCCCGTGGAGCTCATTCGGCCCGTGACGCACCACCTACTATTCCAAAGTTTCGAAGGGGCATTTATTTTCGCATCGGTCCTTTTGTGTGGCACAGCATTGTCATTCCATCCGCAATGGTAGTGATACTTAATGGATGGTTTGAAATGAAGAGCTTTTTTTTCGTTAGCATACCGCGAACTTGTCCTGCGCCTAGCTCAGTTTCTGATGTCGAATATCAAATGGCATCTCTTTTAGGTTATGCTCATCAACGCAGTGAAGGACGTAGCCTTGGCTCTGGGCGACCTCATTCAGGCGACAAAGGTTGCCTCTGGCAAAAGCATTAACGACCCGTCCATGCTTAATCTTAAGGACTCTGCTCAGGTAATAATAATTATTGTTACTTTTGAACAACACTTGATCACTTTCACCCTGGAGGATCCATTCTCATTTTGTGTTGCACCGTCCCTATCGAATTATGTACGTCTCTGGAAGTATTGATAACATTTGAACAGAGCTCGGTCACTGGAAAGCAGGACTTATTACGACGACAAAGTCACTGACATGCCGAGCTCTTTTTGCTCCTAAGATGCTTAGATAATTCTGTTTCGAAATAAAATGTTGCAATCTATCACCTTCGCCACCTTCGACGAAATGTAGAATGGAGTTTTCAACTCGTGTTGACCACAATTAGTTACTGATCATGAATAATAGCAGCGCTTGCAGTAGTTGTTTAGATCTTTCGTAAGTTTGTATGCACTTTGCTATGATACCATTTTCTGCCTGTCAGCCCTTTTGCTCAATGGTGACGCGTTGCTTATTACATATAGCTATAGATTCATCAATTTGTTTACTTTGTTAATTCGGAAGCTCTAGTGCGAGGTATCGAACACTAACCGTCGGTTCGATTCGGTCCTGCGCGCTTTTTCCTGTGGTGTGTATGTGTATATGTATATGATCCGTATCTATTCACTAGGCAATGGTTACAAACGTGGCCTCTTTACTGAAAACTGTCCGAGCTGTCGAAGACGAAAACTCACGTGGAACTCGTGCTCTTGAAGCTACAATCGAGGCCATTTACCAGGAAATACGCGGTTTTGACAGCGCTGACACGACAGGACTTCGACAGGTCACACCGGAAGAACTGGTGCGTTCCACGAAGCCAGTCACCCAAGCTACTGCTAAGGCAGTAGTTGCCGGGACCTCTTGCAAGCAGGAGGATGCGATAGTTACAGCTAATATGGGCCGTAAGGCAATTGCCGATATGCTTCAAATGTGCAAGGTGGGTTAAAAGTCACTATGCTTAGATGTTATGCCAACGTACGAATATGTGTAGATTACTACGTACTATCCGAAAAGAGAAACAACCGAAGATACATGCGTCCGCTTAGAGGCTACGTAATGTTTTTCAACGAGTCGTCTTTCGATCGTTAATGTGTTAATTCATCGTTTATTTCAGTCTGCTTCGCTATTAGCCGAAAACTCCGAGCTAAAGATGCGAGTAATTAAATCTGGGCGCGACTGCGCCGTCCGCTATCGTGAACTTCTTCAGGAAGTGCTCCGAGTTGTAGAGGCACGGTCTGGAGCGTCTGGTGAAGGCAGGCAACGATTAGAGGAGGGCTCAAGGGCCATTGCTATGGCGGTGGGTGAGATGGTGTCTGCAAGTGAAGCTCTCAAGGGTCATGATCTGGACCCCGAAGACCCGACTGTCATTGCGGGAACCGAACTGCTCGGGGCTGCCGCTAGCATTGACGCGGCTGCCAAGAAGCTTGCTAACCTGAAACCAAGGGAAATTACTGTTAAGGTACAGATGAACTAGACTGGACAAAATGTGAAATTACCTTTTGTATAGTCTAACTTAAACGCTATCTAATATTTATATAAATATATAATTGTAGTCTCTACAATTATATATAAATTGTAATCACGATCGTATTATACGTATTATATATATATTAATGTCATTTCGAGGCCGATATCATCATTGAAACGTTCCATGCATCGTAGAAAATCAAAACCGCTACTTCCTGCCTTAGGCAAACACTTATCTGCATCTTTTCAATGATCCTCCTGGCTGACTGATCCAATGTCAAACGTTTTCACGACCGAAAAGTCCAAATACATATTGCCGTCCACTGAAGTCGAACTACAAATAAAGTGGGCAGTCTATTGCAGACGCGTGGCCGTCTTCGCTTTTTCTTTGAAGATGACTCCCTGATATGCGTCGGCACCTGCGAAATCGAAGGCTCATTGGCTTACCAGTCCTTTTGTTCACTTAATTGTTTGCCTAATATCGAAGCTGCTCCAACGAACAATTGTTACGTTGTTCTAGATGTGTTTTTATTTTTGCCAAGATCTAAGAAGCAAGAAATGTTTGTTAGTCAAATGAAAATTGTTCAGTTATAATTAAATTGGACAGACAATTGGAATTAAAGAGGACAGAACGATATGACGCGGCCATCTTCTCGAGATATCCCTATTTCGTGTGTGCGGCCTTGTGCGTGTACAATCTACTTGCGCATGTTTGAATCTGTTTACGTTCGAGCCTTTTTGTTAAATCCTTTCTCCTTTCTTGTGCCACAGCTCTGAATGCGCTAACATTCACGTAAGCATTACCGCTTTCGGTTAGCCAATAGGCGTTACTTTCCTGAAGTCGCTATGGATATAGGTAAGGCAGTAGCGCCACAGGGCAGCATTGCGTACCCGTACCACCATCCATTGCCTATGTCGTCGACAGCTGCGGCAATGTGAACGAAAGCGAAAGCTTCGACTAATTAACTACCGTGAGCCGTTTGTCCGCCTGATAGTCACGGATGGCTGGGTAATGTCGGAATAACTGGCCGGCAGAGTTTCGTACGGTTCTAATGCCCACAGATAGATAGGTAGCGAGGTGACCATCACGGGCAGTTAGACGATCGTATGAAATACTACTGAACGACATAAGCTTTGAAAGTCGATGTTATGCGGGAAACTAAGAAACGTACTATATTATATTGTTAAGCTTGTAGTGGTGATTTGAAGCTATAGCTTGTGTTCGTTAAAAGGGGCAATCTTTGCCTCTTGTTAGTGTATTCGATGCGTCGTGTACTCGTTGAATGAAACAAATCCGTTGGCAACATTTACTCGTTAATAGAACAACGACGTTTTTGTTAGGATACGATAAATGCGTGTGATCGGCAAAGACAGGGATGCAAACGCGGCTTTGCGGCGCACAAGCGTACTTCGAAAAGGTGGTGGCTCTGTACGCGCGAACAACATCGAAAAAGAAGTGTTTTTGACTCGATGACTGCGGAACTACTGTATTAATGACAAATCGAGTTCGATGCAATTCCGTCGAATGGAACAGAGTCATTGAAATTACGATTCATTATGATACTGCCCAGTAGGTGGCGCAATATTTCTATGCATAATAATAATAATAAAAATCTAACAGGGTATTTGTATTTTTGCCTAAAGCATTTTACGGGTACTCAGTATTTTTTTTGCAGTCGTTGGCGTTTTGTTACTGTTTTGACAATGAAACAATGTGAATATTATGCTAAGCTTTGTTAATATGGCGTACAATTTTATGTCTAGTCGTATAGACTTTTGAAAACTAAAATTAAAATACGAAGTCCTATATATATATATATATATATAATAGACAGAGTTTTTTTACATATGTGTAAATGTATAGACATTGTCAGTATAAGTGTAAATAGCGCTGATCTGCACCGCAACATACTGCTTCAAGAATTTATCTGTTAGAAAATGGTTGTGCCAGATGATGCTGGCCTGTAGTACTACTTTTTTATTGCCGTTGCTAATCAACAGGTTGCCGACGAGAACCTCAACTTCGATGCACTGATCTTGGAAGCTGCCAAATCGATTACCGCGGCTACCGCAGCGCTAATTAAGGCCGCTGCGATGGCTCAATGCGATCTGGTGGCGGCCGGTATGGTTAGCGGTCAGCCAAGGTATCATTCTGAGGATGGTCAGTGGTCGGAAGGACTTGTGTCAGCAGCACGACTCGTGGCGGCTGCGACTCACTCACTTGTGGAGGCAGCTAATGGTCTCGTTCACGGCGAGGCCTCCGAAGAAAAACTGATTTCATCGGCTAAACAGGGTAAGCAATACAGGTTATTCACTGCCGATTGGTATGTTAGCTTAAAGCGTAAAAAGAACAATATCAAATAAGACTGGATGTGATTCTTGGAAGAATTCGTATCCTCCCCACTCTGTCTACGGTAGCTAATTCCACGCTGCAATTTAAGACGACTTAAAAACTGCTACCGAGCCTTATTTGATCCATATAGTATGCTCATGTTTTTCTTCGAACGCATTTACAGTGGCAAGCTCAACAGCGCAGCTTCTGGTCGCATGCAAAGTGAAGTCGTCACCTGATTCTCCAACGATGAAGCGTCTCCAGGCCGCCGGTAATGCTGTTAAGCAGGCCACCGAAAGCTTAGTTCGAGCCGCACGACAGCACATCGAACAAACCCAGGAGTTTCAGCTTGTTATCAATAAGTAAATGTTGAGCTACTGTAATCGTACTTTTATCTTTAGCCAGAATCGTTCACGTTGCTTGAATGTCCACGCTTTAGAAGTCCGCTATCCGTAGGGTACTGATAACCATGTCCTAGCTGTTCGGTTTATCGTTGGCGGTGCAATGGCCAACGTGTAGGCACTAAATGTAGCTGATGTGTCTTTTGTGTTTTCTCGAGCAGAAGAATGGTGGGCGGCATTGCGCAGGAGATTGTCGCTAGGGAAGAAATCCTGCGTAAGGAACGAGAGTTGGAAGAGGCCCGTGAAAAGTTGGCCCAGTTGCGTAAAGCCAAGTATGATAACACCATTCAGCGATTGGCCACCGCGGAAACTAGCTCTCAGCTGGATGGCGATCAGGTGATCCAGAGTAGCCCGAGTCCTAGTGTACAACAGGTTCAACAAGGACTAGTATACGGTGAGTAGCAAAATAAATACGTATATATATATGTATATATATATATATATATATATATCAATATGGCTTCAGCTGTTTGTATTGTGTATATATATATATATATATATATATATATATACACAATACAAACAGCTGAAGCCATATTGAAATTGTTCGATTTTCTGTCACACAAAGCTGTGCAAGTGGATAGGCATGAAGGGTAAAACTAGCAGGATCCTAATAATTGTCCATACGGATGGTCACAACGAATAAGTGATTTTTTCTGTTTATGCACGTGCACGTTTCTATCTATTGAAATGTTATACATTTTGTCTTCGTATTTCAGCCGGCTCGGAAACTTATAGCGCGTATACATATCACTCGAGCGAGTCGTCTCACTCGACGACGCACAAACAGTAGTTTTTCTACCGGCAGCAATTCTACAATAGCAAGAATGAACGGAAGCATCAGTGAAACGATAGAATAGGAAAATCACTGCATGTTGATATAATATACGTTACTTTTTACTAAATATTGTATTGATATATATATCAATTTATTGATATATGAGAGCTGCTATATTAAGATAATTACGCTATTCGTTGATTGACCTAAACGCGTTCTCCGTTCTAGTGTTGATACTAATAACAATGGTAATAATACTTGCCTTTGGTTGTCTGATATATACATACGTTTATAGATGGATACTAATATTGTTGTTATTGTCAACGAAGATGATCCTAGTAATAATAGTGTACAATGACCCTTTATAAGTGCTTGCTACGATGTTTTGTTTAACGTGCTTAGATGGAGGCAATATATATATATATATATATATATATATATATATATATATATATATATATAGATGTGTGTGTGTGAACGTGCCGCTAGGCAAGCTAAGGACCGCAATAACAAACAAAGTTGAAAAAATGTTTTATGTCCAAATCAAGCACGTAAGCTACAGTTGTGTAAAGACTTGAAGCTGGGATTTTCTAAGATGATGGAAAAGGTGAATTAACCCTTCGGGTACGCTTTGAGCAAGATATGATACGTCTACCGGTTGATAAATTTCGTCGTTTTTTCGCTATGCGAGTATCGATGATTGTTAGACAACATCCCCTCTGCGTCCTTTCGTGTATTAAGGCTCGCAGTAGGCTCAGACTTTAAAGGGGCTGAAGATCAAAACCTGGCATAAATCAAACGCTCATGAACCTTATGGAGACTGAACTTATTTTAAGTTCATGTGGGCGAATTTAATATCGAGTGCGCATCGTTAGCGGCACATTTTTGGCAATACAGCTTCGCCGCTACCACATAAAGGATCTATAGTTTAGATTAAACGATCGATATGCTAGAAAAATAAAAAGAGAAGGTAAAAAAAATGGAATACGCAGCGTCTTCTAAAGCTCCCAACGGTTTCCACCCGTCGCCTGCGGTGTTTTGTCACTATACTCGCGGAAACGTTAAGCCGTTGCAGTATAAAGCTTCGTTGGAGGGTTCAGGAGGGACGAACTCGGGGTCTTTTAGAAAGAATTGACTTCTAGACGTGTGTATGTATAAGAAGAAAACAGAGTACGGTTATAATCCCGGTCTGTCGAAAAACAGGTATGACGAAATTCTGAAATGGGAAGATATATGCCTTTGTTACCTAGCTTCCTTCGTTAATCGGTCGAGCAGCATTTAGGAAATCAGCCTTCGCGAGCGCTATTCTCTAAATGGCCTCCGCCACTTAAGAAAGCCTTGCGCCATAAGCGATCAAACTATCCATCAATTTGCAATTAATGAATATTAAATGCTATTCAATGTTTATATACACATATATATGGAACATGTGGTGCGTTGTAAGTATAAGATTATTATAGTAACGATCAATAAAAGCGTAATAGCACTAATAATATTAAACGCTTCTCAATGATACGATAAATTATAATATTAGTAATACGGATAATTATTATTATATTGGCGCTGATAAGCCAGAACATTCTATGCACGCCGCGAAACTATACTGCACGTGAAAATATTAAATGCCCTACATTTATTTACCACAGCCATGAATAATGATGATGATGATTATTGAGCTTGATAGGATGAAAATAACAATATAAGGACTATTGGTGGCCGTTTATGACAACCGTTGAAAACAATGAAGCAAATACGACTGCATATACAGTAATTACGACGTTGTACAACGCCGATCGTCTTATTATTATTATGTCGCCGAACATCTTATTACTATAGCAGTTGAATAGCAACAAAAACAAAACAATAATAACTACACTTGATATTGTGGACCTCTTCCCGTTGTGTATACCCGAATTGTGCCTAGGCATTTGTCCGAAGATCATCTGTTTTCCGCCCAGAGAACTCAACGAGACAGCATTGCGCGTGATACGCTAAATAATTGATTTAGCCACCTTCAGTCGATCCTTCCAAAGATCTGGTTTACCTTTGGGATACAGAAAAAATCTAGTTAGCTTCATATTATACGTCATGTTATAGAAACACCAATGGCATCGGCTTGACGCGTGGGCGGCCGACTCGCTCAATGGAGAACTCTAGTTATCCTGCAGGACCATCCAAGCACAACTTTGCTATATGTCAATGCTTCGCCTGTTTCCTACAGGCACAAAAAAAATCGAGATTCCAAATTAGGACACGGATCACCTATTCATACACACAACAGAAATGCACGACAGCTGCAACGGAGCTAACGTTCGTTTGTACGAACCGTAACACCTTTCCAAAATGGCAACTTATTGTCAGCGTACAAAAAATGCATTCGTAGAAAGAGACGGATAGATACGCTAAAGCACTGTTACTATAAAGCTTAGCGTGTCGATAACTTCAACTTGAGGCCAATGCGAAACTGTGGTCAGGCCTCAAAATAGCAACTGTTAATTTGTATCAGTTGTCATCCAAAAACGGTTGTAACGAAAGTCACTATTGATAAATGCCTCTGTGGGCAGTATACCACAGTGGGCAGAATGCTGCACGAAAAAACGCTGAATACGTTACTAGTACGAAAAACGTAATGTTATTTAGGTAATTGTCGTATCAATCGATTGTACCTAACCAGCGTCCGAGAGTCAAACCGGAAGACAATAGCTGGCGATGAACGATGAGAGATTTCCAAGGAACTTTATTACAAATGGTCAAGTTGAACAATGTGGGTACCGTGTTTAATAAACTAAAATCATTACAAACAAGTCTGTCGGTGTAGTTCTTCTATGACCATTTCAGAATCCCAAATTAGATACTCTAATAGTGATTTTTAGAAGGTGAAATTATGATATCTAGTCAGCGATGCACTATGATTTCTTAGCTGAATCCAAGCTCTGGTTAGCCTCGTTGACCTTCTTTTTCTTTCTTTTGGAAAATGTTGGGTTGACGATGATACACTTGGTGAGCCATTGTTTCTTATATGAGAAATTTGAAAGCTTTTTTCTTTGTTGGAAATACCGCTTCATGAATACGATACATTTAAGAAATAACGTACCAACAGTCCAACAGCAGCGTTACAGGTCTCGGATTAATTTCGAATTTTATTATAAATTGCGCTACGGACCTCGAGCCCAATGAATTTTCGGAATGTGAATACGAATTTAGATGATACCAAATTTCCTTTATTTTGGGGGTTGAACTTAGAGATAGCTTAGCATATGCGTTCTAACGCTGTCCATTGTTGATTGGCGGTAAGTTATTGTGGACGACGTCATTTTCTATGCTAAGATAGAACGACTCGTGGTCTGCATTGTATACTGCATTATTAATCACATGCAAGAAATTGATGATTAAGTACCTGGCGGTCGTGGGGAAAAAATTTTTTTTTTAAATGTATATACATATATATATATATATATATATATTTCTTTTAAGAAGAAGCCGTCTCAGCTGTTAGGATTCCGCTACTATTTTGCCGATAATTTGTAGTTAATTGCTTCACTGATCTAAAGGAAACAGACCTAACATAAATGTATCATTTTTTTAGATAAATATTGATATTTGTATGGCTTAGTGAATTATATCTAAACCACTTGGTTTAGTTTGTACAGAAAATTAGCAATAAAGAGTCACCACAAGTTGTTTTTTAAAGAAGCGGAATAAATGCATTAATAAAAACATCTGGGGCCGAACGATACAAGGACACCAGATGTAGTGTCGGACCTATCCCCAATGGTTGGACCTGCTTCCTGCGAAATTAGTATCAATACGAAATTAACACATCTTCTTTTTTGCATTTCACTCTCTGTCATCCCGGAATCATTGAATAGTACTACGAATTGCCAAAGCAAGTGTGAAGTGCCTACGAATCAATATGTCGTGAGTACCTCTGGGTTTTCCGCCTTACCAGATTTGTTACGTTCTATTGGCTGTGAACGCGAAATTCAGCTTCATCTGCAGCCTCGGGAAGCACATGTTTCGCTGCCGTCAAAGGCACACTATTCCTTCAGGACCTCTTTGACTATGGGCGCTATAAGTACCTAATGGTAGCGTATATGAGATCCACAGGCTCCGCTAATCTCATTTTAGCCAACTTAAGAAGGTATTTTGAGCAGGAAAAGATATCCTCTCTGTTGTCCTCTTAGCTTTGAAACTGGGGCAGGTTATCAATGTGTGGGCAGAGTCATTCTCTGTCTCTTTATTGTGAGGGAGACATGTGAGGTCGGGTTTCGCGATCTTGTGTGGGCTAAATTAGAAATCCCCATGGCCCATAACAATCTATGTTACGGAAAAGCCAACCTCCTTTTGGGGTGCTCGAACCATTTCTCCATATTTGGAATTAGATCATGAACTCCGGTTCCTGGGCTTCCGGTTCGCATAACTGCCCATTTAGCCTGCCAGCTACGCTTCGATAGTAGCTTTATGCTCAGTTTCTTAAGAGCTTCCAGAACCACTACTCCATAGTCGCTTCCTCTCTTTTACTCTCAACGGGAGTGTTTCGGCTAATGCAAGGCGCTCTGATATACTGATTGTTCCAGGTGCTTGCGAAGTCTGCAGCAGATCCTTCCTTTGTATAATTGCTTTTTTCTTGTTTCGAAGTCTGTGGAGGTTAGGTACCAAGCGAAGGAATCGAATAGCTCTATTGACTGTGCAAGTAACATCAAAATCCTTCGTCCATCCGCCCTCCCTCGTCCCATGTACATCAGGCAGGATGCTTACTGTAGCGTTTGCCGTTCTAACATGGAAAAACCCACGAAGTTTCTTGCACACTAACATTTATATATATCCTAATCTGTGTGTACAGCAGGTGGACACTGATTTCCCGAATGTGTATTTTATAAGCAGAATGCCCTTGCTTTTTCCAGGGCAAGCTACAGCCCATTTTACATAATCCAGAGATTGCACTTACTGCATGTGAACAAAGTTCTACTGTTCAAGTAAATCGCCCTACTTGTAAAAGGATATCACCTATCTTGTTTTACCTTTTTATTACGCGTGTCGGTTTCTCAGGAGCATCTTAGGCCCCTTTGGCCTTTTGAGCCTTTTCTTTGTTCCGTATGTGCATATCGAGTAGTCTATGGAAGATACTGGTCATAGGAATCCAATTCTCTTCATTCCCAGTAAGGTCTTCTACGAATCGGGTTCCTTTCTTGTTATCTGCACTTTACCTGTTTCATTTCCAACATTAAACTTAAGAACCCTAAAGCGAGTGTTTCTAGTCGAAAGAACGTCGTCAACGCCATAAAGCCTATGGAAAAAGGCGTCGTCGAAATTGGTTTGTACCCATGTGTTTAGCTAACAAGACATTTACGATGAATTTAGTTGCCAACTTATATGCACTCCATATTTTTACAAAGTTAATGTTGAAAATTTTATAGCAGAGATAGTCGAAAGGTTTATACCTAGCAATATGAGATACGCAGAAATTGTAGTATTCATCCTTTAGAGAAAGCATCCTCCAGGAGAAAATATATAACACATAAATATTCCGCAACCTAAAAACGATGCGTTTGCATTACGGCCGGTGCAGGAAGCAATTAACTGTACTTCAAATATAAGCTTATTTATTTTACTTTACATTAAATAAAACAACAAAAAAAGACTAAATATGTCTTTTTTCCGTTGTTTTATACATCGAGCAGCTTTTATAGGCCGTTCTTCTTCGTATCGCTCTCCGCAGAATCAAAGATATAAAGCAACGAGCACCACATGGACGATGTCGCAAATTTATAAAAGATCGTGTCCGGACTGCCTACTACCGGGAAGCGTGCGGAGTCAAACAAAATAAATAAATGACAGCTTTTTTCTTCGAAACATTCAACTAAATACAATCGAATTGTACAAACAAAGGTAAAAAGTTCAGTAGGTACACAATATTGCACGACGAGCTCTCTCATTGCTAAGTAGGTTGGCGAGTAATGTCCAAATGGATATTGGGCGACAGCAAACGTATAATTGTTAGAAAACGACCCTGTATTAGTTAGCAGTTCACACAGACTCGTGTCAAGCGTTCCGTTGGTGCCTCGTAAACAAGTCTTCAGCCGATGGACGCGAGCGCTGGTCGTCTTAACGTAGGAACATTTTTATTTATGGAAAACATAGCCAGGTAACGAAACCAGTCTCTCCTAAAATATTAAAACGGTGCAAAGCGTTTTGTTCAGTCTCGTCCGAACTTATGCTAGTTAGAACATTTGATGGAGTACATCCTAAGACTGATTTTCAATGCCGAAAGTTTAATGCTGCAAATAAAGGAAAGTTGATTTTTTACTTATCTTATGGCCCACGCAGAGGAGCATCTATTTAAAAAAAAAAAAAAAAAGATCCCCAAAAAGTTGTTTTTCGTCACTGGCGAAACTGCGCGGGTGATGAATGAGGTTCGGGAGAAATTTACTAATTATATGATACTTTACAATGTGGCAAAACTCATGTAAAATATTTCATCGTTTTCTTATCGAGGCTAAATCTAATCAAATAGTGCGCATCCGTTCCATGCACCTACCCTAGTGAAGTTGGTTGCGTAGTCTACGATGGTGCATCGAGATGATGTGATGGACTTCAGAACCTCCGAAGACATTTTTTAGTTTGTTCCTACTTCTTGAACTCGCCAGGGAAAACAGTCTGCGCATATAAATCGTCCAAGCTCAGTGGTTTCTCTGTTAAGCGATTATACCGTACAAAGCAGTCGCACATTTCCCTCAGAAAAAGCACTGGCAACGCGTCTCGGTGGAATCACCTATGACGTCAACGGTAAATATCTACTTTTAAAGAAGCAGACGGAATACAAAGGTTTGCTCATCATTTCAGCCACGTGAGTAACTGGTGGCTACACACTCTCCTTTTATGTTACAAGAATGTATCATCTATGACTTTCTTACTATATCAGTATAAATTCTTTACAAATTGAACCCAATTGAATCACAAGGGGCAATTTGAGCTCATCACGGAGTGTAGCATAGGGGGGCAGAACTGAAATGATGAATTATGAGAACGTAATATCTGACTAGTCGTTTCATATGTTGTAGAGTTTGAATCACTGAGCCGTTACATTTATAATCGAGGGCCTGTCAAGCAATTTGATTAACCTTGTATCTATCTAAATAATGAAACCATGAGAATTTAGATCACTGCCACGGACCTTATTTCGGTATTTCCTTTCATATATACTATATGATTTAAAGTTAACGATTAACTAGGTATATTTGCCGTTTGCAGGGCATATCACAGATTTTCTCCTTGTAAAGTGTTCGACTTTGTAAGATACCCCTTCAATACTAAAACGGTTGGAAATTACTAAAACTCGAGGTCGGTGCTTTCCTCAGCTGCCACACTCACGATAAAGCCTATGACAACGATTACTGCTCGAATTTATGAACGCCACTAACTTACGCTACATGGCATAGGTAATCAAAAACTTTTTTTCAAACCTTGTCGAGCTCCTTGGCGTCATCAGTGGCTTCCAAGATCTCTTTGGCGACGTCATTTACGCTGACGCTTCAGTGGCACTCTTCGGCCTGATTTTGAGCAGTAACAAACCGTCCCCGAAGATTTATTTGTATACTGTATGTACCTTTCCGCAATAAGATCTCTGAAATGTACCGCCTTTTTGGTAATTAAATTTTCTGTATAATGTGATGGTCTCATGAAGTAGCCCATGAACTGCCATATAACACTAAGAAAAAAACTGGATCGTATCGGACAGAGGATTCAGCAATGTCCATCAGAAGATCCTTTATGAGATTGCCTCTATTCCTTATTGGTTGAAAGCC